CAATGATGTACCAATAAAAAAGGAAAATGAGACAAAAGGCGGAGTGCTCCCGGCCTGCTGTGCTTTGCTGAATAATTAATGGGTGTTAATATTCATTAGGGATGGGGTCATTGGGGTGATCGGTGGGGAAACACCTCCGGGGCTGGGGGTGCGGTGATTGATTCAGCATGAGGTGGTGGGATATGGGGATTCTGAAGGGAGGGGGGACCCCAAAAGGCTGGGGGATCCCAATAGTCGCTCAAACTGGGCACCCCAGTAGTTCCCTTGGTTATGGTGAAGGGACCCCGAAAGGCTGGAGGACTTCAGTGGTCCTGCGGATGGTTGGGGACCCCAATAGTCCCCATGGCTCTGAGTGGAGAGACTTCAAAAGGTTGGAGGACCCCAATAGATCCCCAAATTGGGGACCCAAGTAGTCCCATTGACTACTGGTGGAGGGATCCCAAAAGGTTGGAGGACACCAATCATCCTCTAAGTGATTGGAGACCCCATCAATCCCTTTGGTGATGGTGGAGGGACCCCAAAATGTTGGAGGACCCCAATCATCCCGCAGACTGGGGAGCCCAGTAATCCCCTTGGTTATGATGGAGGGATCTCAAAAGGTTGGAAGACCTCAATAGTCCTCCAGATGGTTGGGGACCCCAATTGGGGGTTTTTTTGCTTGGCTGTGGGGTCATCTCACCCTACAGAGCCCAGGAGGTCCCCAAAACAGTGCTGTGATTGCACCCAGGTTCATAATCTGAAAGTTCCATCGGCTGATTTTGGCCACGATATTCACCTTTTTGGGGTTGGGATCAGGGCTGTCACTGGGATCGCCTTTGTCCCCCTTGGGGCTGACCCATGCCGGGCAGCTCTGCTGTTCGTTTCTTATTACTTCTTCCAGCCCACGCAGCTTCCTACAGGTGTAGAACAGATGGGAAGATCAGATGAAACTTTCCCTTAAAAACTCTTACTTTAATTATTGTTATTTAACCTCTCCGCACTGCGTTTCCCATGGGTTCAGCTCCCATGGCTGCAGCTGGGATGGGCTCAGCACTATAAAAAACCCCAGACCACAGGAAATCCTACAGATGGATGGCAGCTGCTTGGGCAGATTTACCAAAAAGCCCTCGTTTTGCATGTAAATGGGGTCTGTCCTCACTGACTGTTGGATACATCTGCCCATTTCCTTCCCCTATACCCAAATCCCCCAAAGCCAGGAGGAGCTGGGAGGAAGCAGAGCCCAGTGCTGAGCACAGCGCGATCCTGCAGAGCCCCAGAGCCGCTGCCATGCATCTTTCATGTGCCATAAATAAGTAATGGGGCGGGCAGCAGCGGGGCCAGGAAAGGGGGGGAGCAGTGCTGGGGGGGTGAGAGTGGTGCCAAACCCTGCAGCGCTCATAGGAGGACGATCCCACACCCAGGTGGGCACTTCCATCCCATTCCCCTATGGGATTTGGGGCCGTGCGATTGCCTGTGGGCTCTGAGTCCTCCCATCCCTGTGTATGGGGCAGGAATTCAACATCTGCAGTGGGAAAAGGATCCCACGGAGAACGCCCTATAGTGGGATGCGGGTGGGGATGCCCCATCCTTGGGGTCCTCAGCTCCTTATGGGTTTCACCTTTCCCTAAAGCAGCCGACTGATGGGAAAAGCCATTTCTAACCTCGAAACAAAGCCTCTGGGCAGCTCTACACCTCCCCCTGCCAAAAAAAAGGGGGAGGGGGGGAGGGAGAGGGGTGGAGAAGCAGAGCATGGCTGCTGCAGAGCAATAGTGCAACATGAGGGCTGCCCCGAGAAGAGCCCCGCTCTGCAAAACCCACAGAAAGCGTGGGCACTCACGGCACCACCCGAAATAAATCCTCATCCCCCAGCAGAAGTAGGGCACAGAAAGTAGGGCAGCAGCTCCCTGCAAAATCTTTTATTTATCGCCCAGGGAGCGGCGGCGCAGGGCACGGCCGTGAGAACAGCGGGGTCCTGGGGGTGGGATGGGGCCGTTCTGTCCCTAAATGGTGCCGCTATGGGATGGAAACGGGGTCGGGGTTGGCTGGGTTGTGCTGTTGTGAGGGGAGCGAATCGCCTGGAGGGAGAATAGGGTCGCAGAGTTATTGGGGAACTGGGGAAATCAGTGGGAAAAACACGGAACTGTTCCAATGGCAATGGACAGAACTGGTCGTTCCATTGGCATTGGTTGTTCCAACAGCACTGGTTGTTCCAATGGCACTGAACCCTTCCTGGGCAGGAGCTGGAAAAACCCAATGGGTGATCGCTTGCCCATGGGTTTTTGCCCACCCCTGCTATGGGGCCATGGCCACTTCCACATCCCCACGTAGGGATTTGAGGGGCTTTGCCCCCATCACCCTCCTCCATCCACAGCATCAGGAGCTCATGGGGCTTTTGGGGGCTGTTCCCGATTGCTTTGGGTTCTCCTTTAGAGGAGCAACATCTTGCTGCACGGAACCAAAGCATTGGGTTGAGTTTTCCTTCCAGGAAGGAGGATTTAGGATTTTCATTCTGGGAGGAAAATAGGAAAAGAAGCCCTGAAGAGACACATTTCTGAGTGGGGAAACACCACCAGCAGGAAAATGAGAGCTTCCCAGCCTGGATTTGGGGATGATCACAGCTGTAGGAGCCAGGTGCAGTGGGGATGCCCCATAGAAGCATCCCACAAAACCCCCAGATCCCTCCTATGCACTGCGCTGTGCCTCTCCCCCCCCCCCCCCCCCCAGGCATTTCATTTTCCTTCAGCCTGGAGTTAGAATTCCTCCACTCCTGCCAGCTGTTCCCGCTAATGAGGACGAAGCAAAAACATCAGACATCTCAATTCATGCATTGCTCGAGGTGTCGAACTGTTGCTTTACAACCACACGTGGGAGGCACCGCACCGAAAAGAAAAACCAAAAAGAGCATCATTTTTCACCAGGGGACCCGAATGCAGCCCCAAAGCCACGGTCAGCATCAACCCCTGGTTCGGTAGTCAGAGATTTGAGGGGAGGGATTCTTATTTGGAGGGGGTGGGCACACACACAGCCCTGCATCTGTGGGTTCAGGGGCGTCTGACTCACCTGACCTGAGCATCGCTGATGATTTTTGGGGTGGGAGATGGTTTTGCCATTTCCAACGGGTCCCAACTTGGGGAGGGATGATAAAATGAAACAAGAACAACCAACATTGGGGAAATCAGTGGGAAAAACACGGAATTGGTCGTTCCAATGGCATCGGACAGAACTGGTCGTTCCATTGGCACACGTGTGAAATTTGAACCAATAAATAAATCAATAGAAGCCCAACATGGGATGCAACACCTTAAATACAGGGAGGTGAGTCACGGTGAGCTGGGGCTGAGGGGGGAGATCCAGGTTCTGACTCAGTGTGGTGGTTCTTGTTTCCCTCAATGGGCACTGAGGAGCCTCGTGCCAATGTGACCCTATGAATATCTCTGTGCTGTGGGGAAGGAGAGGACTGGAGAGGCACAGTCAAGCCCAAATTTAGGGATAAATGGCCCCAAATTTAGGACGTGATTAGTGGGCATGGCGGTGATGGGTTGGTGGTTGGACCTTGTGACCTTAGAGCTCTTTTCCAGCCTTAATGATCTGATAAACCAACCCAAGGGATGGGGACCAAAGGTGTCATCCTGGATCCTGCACAGGCACATAGGGAAAAAGCAAACAAACAAACAAACAAATCCCCCCAAAATACAATTCCTAATGGATCTGAAGCCCATCCAAAATCCACCCTTTGGAAAGGGTTAACCCAAAACAGAGCTGCGAATCCCCCAGCGCGATGGGTAGGGAGGAAGGAGAAGCTCGCAGAGCTCCAGCTTGGCTTTTCTTGCTCACCTGCACCGTGACACTGCTGCATTCAGGAGGTTTAACCACTCAAACCTCCCCAGAGGCGCAGCCTGCAGCCCAAATGCTCACCCTGCGAGATGGGATTTGGAACAGGGCCGAGATTGGAAAAACCACAGGGGTCCACAGCACCATCAGCACGAGTCCCCCTTTTTTTTTTTCCCTCTAATCTTGATTTTCCCATTTAAATTGCAAACCTCAGAACGGACTCAGCACAGCAGCTGGAACAGAACCTGTGGAAGGAAGGGGGCAAGGGGAACCTTTCTACCACCTGCAGCTGTCCCTGATGTCCTCACCGCTGTCGGCACAGGAAAAAAAAACCCCATGGGAACAGCATTAGGAACAGCCTGACCCCAAGGGGAGCACTGCAGAGCCCGCGACCCCCATGGGGCACCCAAATCCAACCCCCCCAATGCCCCTTTTCTCCCGTGGGTCGAGGCGTTGGTGGATGCAGCTATTTTCAGGATGTCAGCGCCCACTGACAGCCCCACACGGCGCAGGGTGCATATGGCTCTTTATATATATATAGGATGCACACAGGGACACGTCTCTGCCAAGCGGTTCCCCGGCTCCCTGCTCCCAAAACCTCAGGAGTTTGAGTTCAAAGTGCATCATCCCACACCCAAAGGGGGTCCGTATTAGGGGGGGAAGGTGGGGGGCTCTGGATCCCAATGGGCAGAAAGCCATGGGAGCCACGTGTGGGTCGGTCACCCCGCATTGTTCTCAGTTGCTGGGATTTGGAGGTGCAGCCAAGGAAAAGCGACCGATTGTGTAACGTTTGGCTCCAAAAGCTCCTTACACAGTCGCATCTTTCTATTGGATTTCCCTTGCCCCGCGCCGCTGATTGCTGCCGTATTTATGTATAAATAGAAGCTGTCTTCCCATAATCTGCTCGTTTCTCCTCATTAAGTCGGGGCTGAGCTCAGGCTCTGGTTTTGGGGATGCTGGGACCCGGTGATGCTCAATGGACCCAAATCCATCCATTTTCCCCCCAGACTGGGGCCAGTTTTTAAGCTGTTCTCTTTGGGTTTCCAAGCGACCAACGCAATGCAGCCCATTCAGGGCACCAAGTGCCCTTCTACCCCTCACAACCAGATGGATGCTAAGGAGAGAGGGGAAGAAATCCCCCAACCCCCCCCCACCCCATTCCCCAAATTCCCATTCCCAAAACCCACGTGTTTGCTGCCAGGCATCCCTCCTCATCCTCACCCCTTGGGGCACAATTCCTTCCCGTCCCCTTCCTCCATCCTCACGCTGCTTCCCCCTCATTTAGGGAACGTCTCGATTTGCTAATTATTTTTAATCATTATTACTCATCTCTCCCTTCCTCCCCCCCAACACTCGGTCCCGGCTCCGTCAATCACGCTAATAGCTGTTTACAACCTATCATCAACTCTTGCATAACATCCACATGACTGCGCTCGGATGCCTCCGACACCCAGAGCTGCCCTGGGCTCTATTTTGGGAGAGCTGAGCCCACGGCACCGAGCGGCCGCGTCCCTCCTGAGAAGCATCCCTCGATGGGGACGGTGTTGGTGGCTTTCATAACCCGCCTGCGCTCCGCCGACGCGCCCCATCTATGGAGAACACGAGGTTTGAGGTCTGGCCCTGGCCAGGACTGCAGTTTGGCACCAGGGATGCCCAACTTGGGTTGGTTCTGTCCCCAAAATCCCAACATCCAGCCCACCTGCCCTGTGGAACTGGGGAAGCCACTCTCTCCCCACGCAAATATTTATTTTGCGCTGCACGGAGGGGCTCATTTATTAAGCTCCAGCTGATGACTGTATTCAGACTCATTTCTCCTAATGAGGCACTCACGGTCACTCCAGCAACAGCATCCCAGCAGCCACACTGCATCCAGCCCTCAGCCAAACCCGGAGAGAGCCATGGGGACCTGTCCCCACTCCAGGCAGACCCCACAGCCCTCATCAGCAGCCCAATTAGGCAGCTGGAGGTGGCTAATGAGCCCAGACAACAGTGGGCAGGCACGGCCTGGTGCTTGGCTGCATGTGGTAGGGTGTGAGGATGTGAATAAATGACTGTTTGCCATCCATGTGGCTCAGCCAAGGGAGCAGCTGTGGGGCAGGGAGGGGAGTGGGGAAAGGGATGGGATGGGGTGGGGAAACACCTGCAAGAAGGCACTCAGAATCACAGAATCACAGAATTGTAGGGGTTGGAAGGGACCTCCAGAGACCATCGAGTCCAACCCCCCAAACTCATATAACCCCCCACTCATATAACTGCTCATCAAACCCCGCAGCCATCAGTTCTCCACGCACCACGGAAGCTCCAGGTGCATCTCCTTCCACTCTGAGCCAAAATGAGGAAATGAAAAGGTTTTAGGCTTTTTTTTTTTTTTTTCCTCTCCTGTTTTGCACGATCTGCACCACACTGCAGACAGTGGGGGTGACCCCAAAACAAGGCAGGCTTGGTTTACCCAGACAACACGGCAGTGCCAATGATCCCATCACACAGACCCCGAAGGGTGACACTGATGCTCACAGATCCCTGACTGCACACACACACACACAGCACAGAAACCTGAAGCACACACTGCAGGAGGAAAAGGCAACGTGACGTGCCCACATCCGTGGAGCTTTCCAGGTGGGATCTTTGGGGCAAAGTAGGATGCTGGGAAAACGTTCCTTTGCAGCCTGTCCTCTGCTCCCCACAGCTCTGCAAGGAGCGACACGGACAATACATTGGTTGACAGCACAACATCAGAGCACTGCACACAAGGGATGCAGCATTACGGCAGGGAGCACAACCCCCCCGAGTTGTTTTGGCACAGGGTGTCTCTATTTGGTGCCTTGGGGGCTGCTCTCCCTGCCCACCCACTCTGGCAGCCTTGGGGCTTCAGAGCTCAGCACCATCCAGATTTATGGTCCCCATCTGCAACTGATGCAGCTCACGGGGCTCAAGGCAAGGCAGCATCCTCCCAGCTCCGTGGTCCATCACACAGGTTTCCCTTATGAAATGCTGAGGGATGCCCACTTCTGCTATGAGACAGCTGAGATAGGAGAAGCTGAGGATGCACGGATTTCTGGAGGGGACACAGAGTCCTGGCAGCAATGAAGGGGCAAGAGCTGACTGGGAACCAGAAGCACACAGCTAGCATCCTACTGCAGGGACTGTCCAGGGGCAAAGCACCAACCCCTGAGCACAGCATTCTGCCCAGGCTGCTTCTGTTTGCTGACCAGCTGGAGGCTGCCTGGTCAGCCCACACAGGTCCCTGTGGTGGCATCCTCAGGGATGGGTCCCTATCCTGCTGCCCCATCTCACACACTGCCAGGGTTGTAGCACAGCAGGTTGAACTCCAGGTTCTCATCCCAGTGCCTGAGCAAGACAAAGAGCTGCTGGGCTGCAGATTTCACAGCAGCCAGGCTGCAGCCCTGCGGGAAGTCCTGCTCACCCAGCCACAAGCTGGCCTTGGCAGCCACCAGCTCCCACTCAATGAAGTGGGATGCTGAGCTGTGCTCCAACCAGGCCAGTGCTACAGCCGTGGCCCACAGCATCCCCTCGGGCTCTGTCTGCTTCTGCAGCTCAATATCCAGCAGCAGCCTTTGGACATCAGTGCTGCCTGCCTCAGAGATGCTGGCATCCCACTGCTCAGCTGGGGAGTGGCGGATGGTGATGGCAGGGGGGGAGAGCTCGCTCTCAGCTTTCAGGGCTTTGGAGACGCTTTCCATGGCGCCTCCTGCATCCCATGCAGAGCTGCTGTTGGGGGTCAGGAGCCGCTGGCTGTGCACGGGGCTTCCACACTGCTCTGGCTTCTTGGTGATGGAGGAGCTGGAGGGGCTGAGCGCCAAGCGGTGGCAAGAGAAGGGTGAAGTCCAGCAGAGCTTCTCCATGGGGATGCTGACTGCCTTGCAGAAGGCACTGTTCATGAGGAAGGCACCGCAGGCCAGCTGCAGGGACACCTGCAAGGAGAAGCAAGAAGCTCTGAGATACCAACCATATGCATGTCGTGCAGGGAAAGAGGAGATCCCCATCCCAAAATGGACCTCCTGACACAGTGCTGGATGGCCCAGGGGTTCCCTGCCCAGGGCTGAGCTGCTCACCAGGGGAAGGTAATCGGCGCTTTCGCTGTCACTCTCAGAGCTGGCTTCGCTTGCTCTGGCTGGAGATTTGCTCATGAAACCTTTGGCAGCCCGAGTCAGCAGCCTGGTCTTCTGGAGGGTAAGCCTGCAGGAGGATGGGATGGCAGCCATCGTCTGTGCATCCCCTCCTGATGCTCACCTCCCCATCCCATCCAATCACCCCTATTCTCAACCAACACAGTGACGGTCACTGCTCCGTGCCGGACACATGAGACAGACATGGCAGAGGAAGGCAGGGTGCAATCATACCTTGCAGCAAAGATGCTCTCGATGGATTTTGGGGAGCGTGTGGAAGAAGCAGATAGGCTCTGGAATGGCACTGGGAAGAAACACCAAGAAAATGAGACAGGAGAGTGACTGTCAGAGCAAGGGAAGCAAAACCTACAGTGCTGGGGTGTGAGCTGCTGCGTCTGCTAAAATCCTGCCTCTCTTCTTGCTTGTGTGGGATTCAGGGTAACCGAATTAAAAAAATGAACATGAGGAAATCTGCGCCAAAGGCTCTGTGCCTTTCACCTCTGGAAGCAGTCAGGTCTTGTGCTCACAGGCCTAATTGTAGGCAATAGAGTTTGAAAAATAAAAAACAGAATACTCAGCAGAAAACCGGGTGGGGAGCCCAAATCACTGACTCAATTTCCCAGCAATTATGCAGCAGCAGCTCCAAGCCGTTTTCCTGCCCATTCCCATGCCCAGACCTGACTCCAGAGAGCAGGAATCATGAGGGCTGAAGCTACGTGGAGAGCAAGAACGGTGCTGGAGCCCAAAATGTGGGGCCTGGCACATAGCTGTGAGCTGCCCCACCTTTGGGCACCCTGGAAGCCTTCCCTTACCTTCAGGGATGCGGCAGCGCTTCCAGCTGGAGGACAGTGTGGTGCTGCAGGGCGACAGCCTGGGCTCTTCCATATCTGCAAGGAAGGAAGCGCAGCAGCATCGCTACCAACCTGAAATTTCCCTTGTGCCACCTCCAGCCCCCGAGCACGGAGGTGATTTTAGTTCTGCTGCATCCCTGACAGCAACAGATGCAGTCCCAGCCCAGCTTGTCTTCATTAGCAGAGGATTTGGTGACAGGCAAGTGCCTCACAGCCCCTTGCCTCTAATTATGCCCCACTTCATCCCTCATGCTATCCGTGCTACGGCTGCCAATTAACTTCCAAGCATGGTTGGCAGCCACTGTCTGTGGTTTGGGAGTTTCAGGGCAAATTGCAGCTTCTTCCCTGTTTAAGGAGAAGGATTCCAGCCAGACGTGTGGTTAATTGCTCTGAGCAAATGGCTGGGCTTTTTTTGGGGGGGGAAGAGAGGGGGAGAGGGGGGCAGAAGCGAGAGCACTGTACATAACAGGTCAAAAGACCAGAGAAGATATCAGTTACAAAAAAAAACAAACCTAAAAGGTCATATCTTCATAAAATCATAGAATGGTTGGGTTGGAAGGGATTTTGCAGCAGGCTGGTTGCCAAACACTGGACCAGTCCATCTTCATGGACTGAGGCAATGAGAACAACAGCAAGGAGACACAGCCAAAGCCAGGTCTTACCCGTGCCATAAAATCCATCATCTCCATTCTGGCCGCACGGTGAGAGGGGTTGTGCAGAGGAAAGGTCACGACACCTCCTGCGCCCCGAGCTGAGGCTCCTATGGCCACCTTGCTTGGACAAAACCCCTTGGTATGAGAATTGCTGGTGTTAACCAGGCACTGGGGCAGCAACAAACCCCGAAGGCCGGTGAGCTCGGTCCCTATGCCATCCCAACCCAAGGCTGGCCACAGAGAGTGAGGTTGTTGCCACCACCAGTGACAGGAACCCAGCAACAGATGGATGGAGCAGCCTTAGGTGCACAGATCTGGTGTTGGGTTGAGCCTTGGCGAGGCTCCTGGGGTGCTCCCCACCCGGGCCCCAGCCCCACGTTACCTGTGTGGCTGTACTCAATGATGGGGGGCAGGTAGGTGCCACTGCTCAGCTCCACCGGCACGAAGGCTGTGTATTTACTGATGACATTGCAGGCCTTGCTGGTGTGGACGGCGTTGAGTTGGTATCGCCTCCCTGGCCCTGCATGGGACAGACAGCAGCATTAGAAACCTCTGCATCCTCTCTGAAAGAGCAGTGATGCGCTGGCACAGCTGCCCAGGGACGTGGTGGGGTCACCGTCCCTGGAGTTGTTCCAGAACCGTGGAGATGTGGCACTGAGATGTAGGCATGGTGGGGGTGGGTTGATGGTTGGATCCCTTGATCCAATGAGGCCCCTTCCAACCTGGGATGTTCCATGGCTCTATGGTGCTACATGAGGCCGAGGCTCCGTTACCGTGCTCGATGTCGCGCTCCCTCTCGGCGAGCAGCTCCAGGTCCCTGATGACGGCCCTGGCTGCCAGCTGGTGGAAGGTCTCACTCCACACGTCCTCCTCGCCCTCCTCCTGCCCGTTCTGCTCTCGGAGGAGTGCAGGGAGGTCGAAGGTGATTTCCCACTGCATGGGCTCACCGCCCCGCAGCCCCTTCACCACTGCCTTGCAGGAGACGCGGGGGGAGCGCGGGGAGCCCCGGGTGGCACCGGAATCCCAATCCTGGGGCTCCCAGTCTGAAGAGGTCTCTGTTTCAAATGTGAAGGATGGATGTTGGGCAGCCTCTGAAGAGAGGAGAGAAACACGTAATTAACCACAAAGCCATATTTAACCCTCCCCAGTTGGAGGCACTGAGTGGTGGCACTGAAGGATGTGGTTAGTGGGCACGGTGGTGATGGGGAGGTGGTGATCTTGGTGGACTCTGCTGACTTTGGCGATGCTATGATTCTGTCAGTAGGGATGGGTTGAACTCGATGACGTTAGTTTGTCATTTCCAACCTCAAACATTGTATGATTCTATTGGCAACGCCACCCAAATCCCTCTCCCACATTACCCAGCTCCCCAGGGCTCCGGCTGTCGGATGAGGACTGCAGGCTGGCATCGAGAAGGCCTGAACTCCATCCCACAGCCACGTCAGGTGCTGGTGGGGACGTGGGGCAGTGGCAGGAGGACACATGGCTCTGCTGCAGCAGGGAGGGCCAGCGGGTGCCTGCACCACAGATCCAGGTGGTGGAGATGTGTGGGGTGGCAGTGAAGGGCTGAGGAATGTAAAGACATTGAGCTTTACCCCCTGGCTGGGACAGACCTGGAAGGTGTCCCCGAAGCACCAAGGTCCCAGGGGCTCTTTCCCTGTTTGCACAGGAGGTGAAATATGGGTTTCAGCCCTGCAGACATTTTAATGGCTTCATTTGGGAGACAAGGGAAAGAAGAGAGATGGAAAGATCAAGCACCAGTTACTTGGTAACGGGAGGAGGAGGGTGCAGAGGATGGGGAGAAGGGAGTCATTTTATTTTATGTTTTAAACAAGGCTGTTTCTCTACTTGCAGGATACATGAATCTCCCCTGCAGCATCTCTGATGCTGTATCCAGCACGGAGAGCAGCAAGCAGCCAGCCTCCATCACTCACCACTGAGGGCGTGATGCTCTGTGAACTCACCAAACAAAACAGGGAAGCAGAAAACTGTGTGTGTGGCCCAAACAACACCAAGCACCCCAATCTCAGAGTCAGTCAGAAGTGCTCCATCCCATCCCAAGCTCCATCTCCATCCTGAGCTCTCCTCCCAGAGGGGGAAGAAGCGAAGCACTGAGCTGCCCATTGCCAGCCCTGACCTTTCCATCCCAGCACGGCGTGTGTGGAGGCGAGCAGAGGGCTCACACTCACGGCCCAGTAAATGTCAAGCCCTGGCAGCCAGCCTCGGAGAGCCGCCAGGAGCCCTCGCAGCACAAGGGACAGCAAAACCAGGCTGCAATTAATTACGAGCAGGATGCACGCTGGTAATGGTTTACTGCCCTCCAGAAGGGAGTCATTTCCATCTCTGCCTTCATGCTGAGCATCCCACGCACAGGCAGGATGCTCTGCGGGCCTCAGAAGTGCAAGGAAGGTCGCAGGTATCTCCCAAACCCATCAGCTTGCTTCTCCTGTGCTTCTCGTCACCCTCCCTGCTGCTGCTACAGGGCAGAGGCTTCATTCCCATCCTCTCGCCTCCAGCCCCCCTTCACCCCAGTGTCAGCAGAAGAGAAATGAGACCCCAGCATCCCTCTGTGTTTCCATGGGAACAGAAGTGCACGGCCGCTGCACATCCTCCCAGTGCAGATTTCAGCACTGGGCATCACAGTTATGCTGAGGACAGGAGAAAACCCATCCCCACCCTTCCACAGTGCAGCTCCAAGCCCTTTCCAGGACTGGGTTCAGCCTATGGAATTCACATGCATCCAGACCCCAGCCTGAAGCTGTGGTATATGCTTTGGGTCCGACCTGGGGACCTTGGAGGGCACAGATGTGCCGTGGTCAGATTATACACCAAGCCAAATGCTGGGGAGATGGGCAGGAGGGAACCTGGGGATGAGACAACAACAAAGCTAAACACAGACCACGCAGGTGTGGGAGGAGGACAGGCATTCAGCAAACAGAAGCAGGGAGCAGGATCCCATCAGCATCCCATCTGTGTTAGCCACATGCTTGTGGCATGCTGCAACACACCCACCAGTGCTGGCGTGACCCAGGCTCCTTCTCTTCCACAACCCAGACGCTCCCAGTGCTGTGGGCTCACCCTATGGCACAGGGAGCATCTCTAGGGGTAACCCACCTGGAAATGCACAGGCTGTAGCTCAGGGCTGAGCTGCTGCAGGTCCTGCAGCTGGGTTTTGCGGAGGGGGTTCCTCAATAGCGCGCTGCCCGGGTCGCTGGCTGTGGGCTCCTTGTAGAGGGGCTGGTGGTCAGAGATTTGGTTGGCACTGTATGCACGTCTCCTGCAGGACGCTTTCACATCTGAGTGGGGGGAGAAAGGGTCAGTTATCCTCCCGAGGAGGATAAGGACGTACTCAGCCCTGCTCGGTTCAAAGCAAAGCAGCAAAAGCGCAGAAGAAAACAAGAGCCTACACTCAAACCCCAGGGGATGGCAGGAGAGCTGGTTGGGGAGGCTTCGTCTGAGCAGTTTTCAGCCAGGAAAAAAAAGAAAAGAAAAAAGGAAAAAAAAAAAAAAAAAAGCTGACTGCATTTACCCAAACCTTCCTGGAGAAGACAAAGGGTTTACTAATGAAATTTCATTAGTGCAGACATTTTCCTGTCAGAGCAAGAGCAAAATTTCATTTGGAAACGCATGATTTCTCATCGTTTTTGACAAGGCTGAGAGGACGGGCTGCACAGTTCCTCTCTATCAGCAGAGGATATCCCACAGGTAGCAGAGGTTTCCCCTGCAGCAAGGGCCGAAGCTGGAGCTGCTTTGGAAACCTCTGGGGAAGGCAGATCTCCAGGGCTGCCATCGGTTTCCTGACAGCTTCGGGTAAAACATCCGAACCAAGCAGCCTCGTCGAGATGTGTCATCCTCCCACAAAGCCCTCTGACACTTTGCAGCTGGGGAGATGGAGCTGTCAGGCGAGCAAATCGGCAGAGCAGAGATGAAAGCTGGTTAGGAAGACAGGGGCCTGACCGGCATCCGTGTCTGATTCTCCGCTGGGGTCCCTGCCTGCCACCAGCTGATCCGGGGTGCTGCATCCCTCTGGGTAGCTCCAGCTCTCAGCACCAGTCCCTTCTTCTTGGGAATGAAAGAAAACGGAGCTGCCTGACTCCTGGGAGCGCATGGTGCTGTACCGTCGTCTCTTGTCCTGGGGAGAGCAGAGATGGGTTTGGGTTTGTGCACTGGTGCCAAGGGGATCTCAGCCACGCGGGGAGCACAGCGACGGTGGGAGAAGCGTGGCACTCACAGCTCTGGGCTTGGAGATGTACAGTGAGGTGTCACAGATGATGCTGTAGCCCACCAGGCGGTCCCCAGGGAAGAGGCAGCTGGTGTTGAGAGGGGAAACCAACACCTCGGTGCTTTCAGGGAAGACCCACTCCACTGACACATCACTCAGCACTGGAGCCATCGCCTTCTTCAGCGACCTGATCACCTGGGGTGGGGAGCAGGAGGAGGAGGAACCACACCAAAAGCTGTGGGGCTGAGCCGTGAGCCCCAAACCCTGTTGGGTTTGGTTGGGGTTCGATGGCAGCACAAATAAATGGAGATTTCAACACACTGCCCACCGCCCCGATGGGGAAGGCCAGCATCTGTGGGGACACGTGGACTGCAGAGCCATCCCTGCACACTGTGGGATGTCAGCACCAGATTCACAGCTTTGCATCTCCTGTGTTCCCTATTGTTCCCACTGCTTTGTCACCGGCTCTGGAAGATGCACCAGGCTGTTTTATAAGGCTATTAATTGATGCCTCAGACAGCTGAAGGCAAAGCACTATATTAATAGCTCTGTTTAAAAAAAAAAAAGAAAAGAAAAAAGAAATCACCTCCCTTCACTGTCTTTGCTTTTAATTTACATCAGAAACAGTGATGCTCTTCTGTCTTAGAGAGGATTCTGTGTGCTACAGGTCCCTGCAGAGGGACGAGGGCTGAAGCCCTTTGAGATGGAGGATGCAGAGACAGAATTTAAGGACATTTCTGAGCTGAGGACCTGATTGTCTCACGGTTTGTCACTCAGTGCATGCTTTCACCAGGAGACGGAGCCCACAAAGGACCATTCTTACAGCACAGCCTCAGCCTTCGCGGGGAGAGCGAAAACGAAGCTCCCTCATTTGCTTTAAAGTCAGCTTAATAAGCAAAGCAACTGCAGCACGCTCCCCTCCCTCCAACCTCGGGTACTGCTCGCCTGAGCAGCGCCAGGGCTGAGCCTGACTTCAAAACTAATTGGCTGCTTTGATGCCGGCTCTCTGCCCTTCCTCTGCTCTGCGGCAGCAGCTGCTTTGAAGCCGGAGCGGCTGCACGGCGGCTATCGCCTCTCCCGTCCCCGCGTGGGATAAACACCTCCCACTGCCTCCGCCAGCGGAGAGGAGGATGCTCCCATCCCCTCCTGCTCGTCCACCTGCTGCCGAGTGGGAGCTGCAAAAGCAGCAGCAGCAGGAGGAGGGGGAACGGGAGTGCAACGTGATGGTTTGGAGAGGTGACGGCACGCGGCCGTACCTTGGGCTGCAGCCTCTCGCCCTCCGCCAGGAACTCAGCGATGCCCCTGGACACAGCAGCTGCTCCCTGCACCAACCTCCTGCAGGCGTGGGGCCCAATGCCGAAGCTGTAGCATCTGCAAAGGGAAGAGAAAAGAGCTCCGTGTTTGCGTGGCTGGAGTGGGGCTGGGAGCTGCCCGGCCAAGGCCAGGTTGGATGGGGCTTTGGGCAGCCTGGGCTGCTATTAAATGGGGAGGTTGGTGGCCCTGCGCGTGGCAGGGGGTTGGAGATTCGTGATCCTCGAGGTCCCTTCCAACCTGGGCCATTCTGTGATCCTGTGATTCTGCAGAAGGCATCGCTGCCCATAACATGGGGTTGGGATTGAATGGGTTTTCAGACCCCTTCCAACCCAAACCACTCTCTGATTCTCAGGTTCCATGAAGGAACAACACTCGGGGCTTGCCAGCAGGATCCCCAACTGCTTGGCTGCCAGGTCAGCTCCTCTCCCCACTGAGCGCCTGCGGTCAACAGCATTAAAGAGCTAGTAATTATCTCTGCTCACAATTAAAACAAACATTTTCTCAAGGCAAGAAGAACCAGCTGGGTGAGACTGCTGCCATCACACAACTCAGCAAGCCAAGGGCTGCAAACCAGGGGCAGGCAGAGGAAGAAAACACCCTCAGCAGCCATCTGCATCTGCACCAGGGTGCTTTTCTCTTGGAGGTTTTAACCCCCAGGTGGCTGCAAATCTTCCAGAGATTCACACCCTCTTCTGATCTCCTTTTGAGCTAAGGGCTAAAAGCCCAGATTCCAGCACCAAGAGAGGGGGACAGGTAGTGCTGTGCTGCTGAGAAGCACTCAGTCCTCCATGGATGAAAGAAAGGAAAGAGCAGCTTCCCTGATCAGCCCTGGACTGGGGAGGAGTAAGGCTTTTTAGTGCTTGATTCATTGGTTGGCAAGCCTAATAGGTTTGGAACTAAATGATCTTTAGGTTCCCTTCCAGCCCAAGCCATTCTATGTTTTTCTCCCATTTTCCTGATGTTTCATCTCTCTTAAAGAGATGGAAAAGAAACCAGACCATGAGGGTTGGGGAACAGGCTGGGAGCTCGCCGCATTCATTTCCTGCTCATCCCATTGCTCTTTTTCAGCAAATTCAATTCCCATCCTGGAAGCAGCTGGGTCCGAGCCCAGATGTGCTTCAAAAATAAAAAAAAAAAAATTAAAAAAAAGGAAAAGGAAGAAAAAAAAGCAAACAAAACAGCAAGGAAGATTGCTGGTGCGTCAATCTCTCCTAGCAGGAAGCACCAGCAGAGAGCCTGTGAAGCTGTCAGCCCAATTCTCCCGTGCTTGATTGTTAGAAAAGCATCTGAACTTCTGGGATCTGTTCCAAACCCTTTGAGGTTCTGATTTCCTGACATGGGCTCGGCTGTGAGCTGCAGCCCCCCAGCCCTGTGCCCCATACCTGGTGGAGCAGGCGTGGTTCCTCAGCAGCTCCAGCACCGTCCCTGTGTTGCCCACAGCCTTGTGAGCCAGCAGGAAGAGCAGGCGGGGGTGGCCCCTGCGGATGGGCTGCCGAAAAATCCACTTGAGAGGAGACAAGATGTTGGGGCTCCCGGTGTCTGCATGCATCCTCCTGATGCTCTCACAGGCCACGGCCAGGCTTTCCTGTGGGAGGAGTGGGGGATGGCCCATCTGACCCCCAGCTCCCATCCCGTCCACCCAGCACTCACCTCGCAGTACGTCCTGCTGGCTGGGAATAGGATCTTGAAGGTGGAGCTGAAGGTGATGATGTTGAAGAGGCACGCTGGCATCAGGCTCTTGAGGGCCACCAGCAGAGCATCCTGATGGAAAGAAGCAGTGGGTCAGCACACCGTGCCTCTCCTGTCCGCTTTGGCTTCATAGAACAGCTGGGTTGGATGGGATCTTAAAGCCCACCCAGTTCCAACCCAATGCCATGGGCCGTTTGCCACCCACGAGATCAGGTTGCCCAAACCTCACCCAATCCAGCCCTGAGCATCCCCAGGGATGGGGCACCCACAGCTCCTCCCATGGCAGTGCTCAGGGAAGATGTGGCACTGAGGGATGCGGTCAGCGGGCACGGTGGGATGGGTTGGGGTTGGACTTGGAGATCTTGGAGGTCTTCTCCAACCTTAATGATTCTAAAGCTGTTTCTTTCACATGATTTCCTATGCTGAGAAATCTCTGCATATCGCTGCTCTCTTGCAAGTTCCCTGATGTTTTTTTGGGTCCCGACGCAGCGAGGACGGCGGGGTGCTTCCAAAGAACAGAATCCCTGTTTGCTCCAAAATGGTGAATTCTGTGCTCACCCCGCTGCACTGCAGCATGGAGTTGGGGGTGAGAAGCAGAGTGTGAAGCGGAGCCGTGCGACACATGATGCACTGCAGTGCCCGAACTGGCAGAAATAAACAAACAGCTTTGAGTCGCACAAAAGGAGAAGCCTCCCCCAGCCCCAACTCCCTTATAGCTGGCACAATTAAAATAGCAAGGAGAGGCTGCTTCCAGAACTTGTCATTACCAGCAGTGGTTATCTAACTCGCCTGCTCCTGGGCTCTTACATAACAGGACAGAGCTTGGAGCTGCTGGGACGGCCACCGTGGTCAACTCCACCAGCAAGCAGTGCTGCAGGAGGGGGAGCAGAGAGCTGGCAGAGCTGTGTGTGCTCTGATAAAGGCAGACTTCTGCCTAGGGCAGCAGAAAGCCCACAGCCAGCCCTGGGAGAGGAGCTGCCAAGGTCAGACCGGCCGCCTCCTGGCTTCATCCCAGGGCAGGGCATGGGCAGAATGCTGCGTGGTCCACGAGTGGGGCTGCCCTTTAGCAGCTTCACACTGAGCTGTTATCTCAGCCCTACAGGGATGTATTTATATCGCTGCTCCCAGCAGGCTCTGGGGGTGCTGGCTCCTGCAGATCTGACATCGCGCCTTGGAACTCGTTACAAAGATTAAATAAATTATTAAAAAAAAAAAAAAAAAGGCATAAAAAAACCACCCAGATTTCCAAATATTTCTGTTAAAGCGCTTCCCGAAGCGAGCTCCCAAAGCCTGCCTTCTGTTTCATCAAGCAGAAGGATTTATTGCTTCTTGCAGTAAATATTGATCCTGATCCCATTGCACTCTCTATCAATACGGCAGCTCAATAAGAAGAGATGTTTGCCTCCAGAGAAGTCAATTCCCAGTTATTTTGCCAGCTCGAGCAGTGCTGACGCGAGCACTGTCCCTTCTCCCTGCTGAAAGGGATCAGATGCAGAAAGCCTTGAACTTCCCACCTCTGGGGTCAGATTAGAGACCTCCTGCCCAAACCCAGCCCAAGTCAAAGAACCCTGAGTGGATGCTTTGCAGCAAAGGAAAAGGGGGGGGGGGGAACCTGTGGCCTTCCTGGGGCTCGGTGCCATCCCTCAGGGTGACAGCACGCTCCTCATCGCTGGAGGTGGATGTCCTCAGTCAGTTCCCATGGAAACAGGAGGAGGTTGGGAAGGAGATGGGCTCGAATGCTCCCTGCCTGCAGGCAGAGCTGCTGTCGGAGCAGGGATGCGGTGGCTCCGGGTGTTTGCACCCAAACCTGGTGGTAGTTGGGTTAGGGAAGGGTGTGAGCACATCATGGAGCCTCTGCATGCTCAGCCCAGCACCCAAATGCAATCAAAGCCCCAAGGGACTCTGCAATTCCCTCTCGCTCTCTGCAAGGAATACACGTAGGGCAGAGTGGATCCTGCTCAGGAAGATGTGATGTCCATTAAGGTCTGGGGCTCAGTTGGCCCCCAAAACCAAGAGAAACTCCACGCAGAGCTTCTGCCAGAGACTGCAGCTTCTCACCAACACCCGCCAGCTGGCAGCCAGCAGACACCAGCCTGCCTCCAACGAGTCAGGCAGTGCTAACGATAATGAAAGTTCCCACAGTGCTTTCCCCTTCACCAGGTCCCCAATGGGCTCAGAAACCTCTCCAGGATCTGTGGGCACAGGATCTAAGGGCAGCAGCAGCAGCACAAAGCAGAGCCAGGTCCCAGGAGGGATAAATGAGGGCTTGTCCTACAGCCTGGACAAACCCAAAGTGGTGACAGCAAGGGGACCTGACAGCTCCGTGGGAACCCCAAAACATCCCAACCTTTCCATCACCCCAAGCTCCCAGCACGCTGCTCATAACCCCACACCAGACCGCAGGTCCTCGTTTGTGTTTGAAAAAGGGATCCTGGAGGTGTCTGCAAGGGCACAGCCAGCGTTTAGCCCTACAGTTGGTCTCTGGATGCCTCAGGGCCCCGGGTACAGAGAGCTGGAGGTTCATAGGAGTCCAGCAGCACAAACCTTGGCACGGCGGATGCTCGTGCTGCTCCCACTGCAGTCCACCAGGAAGATGAATTCTCCAGCAGCTTTCTGCAGGTCAGCCGGGGCCGTGCTGAGCTCGGGGCAGAAGTTCAGCATGAGGACAGGGTGGTGGGGGATGTCCTTGTGCAGGCGCTTCCGGATGATTTCCATCTGCAGAGAAGAAGGAGAGGGTGTAAGAATTCAGGAGAGTGATTTTTCTGCCTCCTTTTTATATTAGTTGGCTGCTGGGTTTTCCCAGGCTCCCCAGGCTGCTTGCTGGGACTCAGGATTCATTCTGCGGCCCTTGGGGGGATGTGGTTTATGGGCATGGGTTGGCAGCTGGCCTGGTGATCGTAGAATGGCCTGGGTTGAAAAGGAGCACAGTGCTCATCCAGTTCCAACCCCCTGCTGTGTGCAGGTCACCAACCAGCAGCCCAGGCTGCCCAGAGCCACATCCAGCCTGGCCTTGAATGCCTGCAGGGATGGGGCATCCACAGCCTCCTCGGGCAGCCTGTGCCAGTGCCTCACCACCCTCTGTATGAAAAACTTCCTCCTAATATCTAACCTAGTTAGATTAGTGGTCTTTTCCAACCTTAATGATGCTGTGCTTCTGAGCAGCAGAAATCTGCCCCAGTTGTTGAGGGCTTTATCCAAGGTGAGCACCTCACCAAGGCTTTCTGCTCTGTTTCTCATCCTCTGTGCAGTTTGTGCCCAGTCCTCCTGGGGCACAGAGGTGGCTTTCCCACAGGGAAACGATTCTGGAATGATCCTCCTCATGATAACCTGACATGCTAAAGACAGAAATAATTAGGGAGCCATGTGAGCCGTGGCGTGGGAGGTTCATTTCGTTCCACCTGCCTCACGCTGAACGCAATTAGAGGAAGCGCCTGCCGTGCGAGCAGCCCGTCCTCATCACCGTGCTGCAAGGGGAAGGGAAAAGAGAAGGGGCTGCAGCGAAACCAGGAGCCCCAGCAGTATGGGGAGAAACCATGGAGCATCACCAGGTGTGTCCAGACAGCCCCCGCTTCAGGGCTGCAAGCACTTGGGGGTCCTGCATGCGGAGCCCACCGCAGGACAGGCGGCTCCCAGCAGTCCCCTCCTCTGGGCCTGCTGCATGGCAGGCAGGGAGCGCTGAGCCGTCACTCAGCTGGGGCTGCTGAGCCATAAATCCCAGAGCTGAGGTTTTTTCTATTTGCTCGTCAGCAGAACAAAGAGAAGTTTCTACTACCTTGTCTTCGGCTGAGCTCGTTATTCCAAGCCAAATCGCTTCCATCTCTCTGACAGCTTATCCAGAAACGGTAAACATTTACGGAGCAATTAAAAGAATACTTTATTCAATGTCACTGCAATAATTATAATACTGTTAATGCTATAATAATGTACCTACCTAATTACGCTATGCTAGAACAGCACTAATTATACACACAATACCCATCTCGCAGCTTCTTCCACACCCAGTTCATCAGAAGCAGTGCAGAATTTTCCCCTCCTCCTCCACATAAACCCCTCTCCAAGGGGGGATGCTGCAGTTATGGACAAGCACTGCGAGCAGCCAACCATGTAATCACCCAGCTGAAGGAAAGCCTCGGTGCCTCTCACCTTTTTCTCAGCACTGGGGTCCTTCTTTGTGCCCTTAATGAAATCACTCTTCCCCTTCAAGTGCTGTTCATACTCTGCAGGCGTCATATCACCTTTTTCCATTAAGATGTGAGGCATGTGGGGCTCTGGAAATGCAGGAGAACCCCACCTCAGCTCAGCTCCAGGTGTGGAAGAGCTGCATGCACCCACTGTTGCGATGGCTTTTGAGGGGATCTGAGGTTATCTTGTACAAGTCTGACCCCCAGCAGTGTGTGCAAAGCAGGGGCAGAGCCCACGTACCACTCGGGTGGATGAGGATCTCCACAGGTCGGTCAAACGTGTGCCTGTTGGCCAACGTGATGACGATGCTCTTCGCTGAGCGAGCGGAGGGGTCGGCATCTGCTCGGATCTCATGCGTGGGGCTCTCAACGCCTGCATGGAGGGACCAAGGGGTGGTTAGGGAGAGCCAGAGCACCCCACGCAGGGGAAGGAAAGGAGGAGGATGAGCGTGGGCATCACAGGCAGCCCCGTACCTGCCAGCAAGCATGGCCCCCGGATCTCCAGGTGGAAGCTGAACTCATACTCAGAAGGGTTGGTTGCCTCACTCTGCAGCAGCTGGGCCAGACAGAAACTGCTCCCAAGCTCTGGGCTCCTCAGTGAGCAGCACTGCTTGTCCCTGCAAGTGAGGTGAACCCCAATGAATGCCTGAGTGCTGTCTCCCTGCACCAGTCCCGATCAGAAGCCATCCCGTTGTTCCATACATTCTCAGCAGGTGGCTGGAAAGGCTGCTGGTGTTCTCCAGGCTGGGCTGAGGGACCCTGGGGACACACACAGCTGGCAGGAGGACCCGCACAGCCCCGCTGGGCAGCGTCTGCAGCTCAGAGGAGGTGCTGATAAAGATGGAGACGCTTTCCAGGGGAGGAATCATGCCCAGGTTGGCCACAAAAGCAATCCTCTCCAAGTCCTCATCCATCACAATCCTTCCTGCAGAGAGAGACAGCTGTATTAGGGTGTCACAGCCACAAAAAATGTCGTTCCCTAGGCCTCCAAAAGTCACCCCCACCCCGGACCAAATGCCCACACCATCTCTCCTCTCTGGGGAGCCCAAACCACAGCCCTATGCATTACCATTTTGGCAGATGCCATATGGACATGAGTCCCCTTGACGCCATGACACATGACAGCCACCCACTCGCTACCACCTCCCCTTCCCCTTGGCTCCCTGTGTTCCTCAAAAGGCTCCAAACTCTCTCACCACCCCCGCTGGGAGCTCCTCCATCAGGGAGGCTGATGCTGTTCAAATACACGTCGTCAATCTTGGCTTTGTCCTTTATCTGCACGGTCACAGCACGCTGGCAGATCACTGCCTCAAATCCCACGACGGTGGTGCCTTCATCCAGGGGGAAGATGAAGAGCCCTGCCAGCCAGGAGGGTTTTAGCAACACCAAGCCTTCATCCAGAATCCATCAGCCTTGGGTTCTCTGGAAGAGCTCAAGGCCAAGCTGGATGAGGCCCTGGGCAGCGTGGTCTGGTGGGGGGCACTGGGCACTGGAACTGTGTGGGCTTAAAGATCCCTCCCAACCCAACCCAACCATTCTATGCTTCTGATTCAAGAAGAAGAAGAGCCAAGTGCTGCACGGGGGAGGAACAAGCACAGGATGTGCTGGGGGATGCAGCTGAAAATGCATGGCAAGGCAGGACCCAATGGACACCACGGTGACAAGCCAGCACTGTGCCCTTGCTGCCAAGGCAGCTAGTTGTGTTCTTGGCTGCATCAGGCACTGCCAGCAGGTCAAGGAACTGACCCTGCCACTCTGCTCTGTGATGGGACACAGGGACACACAGAGGTGGTGGGATTGCCATCCATGCAAATCTCCAAGAGCATCTGGACATGATTCTGGGCACCAGATCCGGGTTTCCCCGTGGGGGCTGGGTGGGATCAGAGCCATTCTATGATACTCAAACTCACACTTCTCCAGTCATACCCTTTAGGCCCACATCACTTTGCATTTACAACCATGGGACACAACTCCCACAGCAGCACGTGCTTCACTTGCCTTTGCAGGGCTGTGCCTGCAGATTGCAGTAGGTGAGCGAAGCTGTCATGCCCAGGGCATATCCACTGACACAGGATGTCACCTGGGAGGCGGTGAGCAGCAGTGGGCAACGGGAGCTCTGGTTGATCAGCCCTGGCATCTTCACCACCACACGGTGCTTGGGAAGGAAGAACCCACGAGAGGAGCCTGGAGCACCACGCGTCCTCCTTGTGCCTTCACAGCCCTGAGGACAGAAGGAGAGGTGAGTCCTGAGCGTCACATCTCTGTCTGCACACCTCAGCCACTCAAGCTGGGGCAGAATGGCTCAACTTCAGCCTTCCCTCCACCCTGCAGTGCCTCGGTCCCCAAGGAAGGATCTGCCCTCTCCCTCCACACCGTGACTCATCTCTGGCTCGGCAAAGCTCAGCTGTAAAGCTTCTGCCAAGCGCCGCAACCCTTCCCCTGGAGGTTCTGCTCTGTGCTCCCATCCCTAGCGTGTTTCCTCCCCTTCCAGCACAGGCACAGCGCTGCGGGAGACGCAGCATCATTTCCAGCCAGCTGACGCATAGGTGCTCGGGGCGAGATAACAAGGGCTGGCTGCACCGCAGAGAGGAGGCAGAGGGCATCGGGATATTAGGAAGTAATTAAGCACCAGATGGGGGAGGAAGGAGAGGGAGCCCTTTGCCTTAGGGAAGAAAGGGAGGAATGAGCAAGGGAAACGAGGAATTCATTTCTGAGAAGCCCTGGAGGTGAATTCAAGCCCCAGCGGGGGGACAGCAGCAATGTCCCCGTGCTCCTGCGGAGGTTGGCACAAGCAGCAAGCCCCATGCTTGGGCTCAAAGTCCTGCTGGCCACAACTCCCAATATCACCGCGGCGGGTTGCTGCAGCCTCACAGCCGCTGGCCTGGCCCCAGCGGGGCGGATCAGAGCCGCATCAGCAGCACCGTAATCCCATCCGCGTGGGCTCGGATAGAAGTCACCACTCGTCCGGCCAAGCTCAACCGCAGAGCGGTGACACCGCAGGGCAGCACACAGCGCCGGGACAACCCCCCCCCCCCCCACCCCCCTCTACTTGGAGGACGACTGTTGTGCAGAGGGTTCAAAATATTCCTCCGGCTTCGTTTGCATCAATCAACACTGACATCCAGCGGCTCGCAGCCCGCTTACAGCCTCGCAGCCGGCCGCCCTTTGCAGGGATGTGCGCGCACGGCCGGCCGGCCGCCTGTTGCACCGATGCGGCGTCGGGGCTCACGCAGCACCTGGGGGAGCCGCAGCGATGCCGTTCAGCCTGGCAAAGCCCGCACACGCAGCCGGCGTGCCGCTGCTCCTTACCTTGCCCGTGAGGAGGAGGAAGGTGGGCCGGGGTGGGGCAACTTCTCCCCTTCTCCTGCAGCTCGGGAAAGGAATCACGCAAGCAGCGCTTCACGCCGCTCTGCCTCTGGAAGGCACGGGGAGACGGAGACGAAAAGGGAGAGAGCAGGGGAGGAGGGAGCGGGGTGACCGAGGCACGGACACACGCAGGCGGACGGACGCAGGTCCGGGAGCCCGTGGCAGAGCGGAGCCGTGCGGAGGTAACCATGACGATGATGCTCCCGCACCGCCGCCTTCGCCTCCGCCTCCCGCGGCCCCTCTGCGGCCCTGGGGACACGATGCGGAGCCCGCAGGGACAAGAAGGGTTCGCGGGGTGCCGCGGCAGGGCCCTGCCCCGCTGAAAGGTCCCGATGGGGCTGCCCCACAAGCGCTGCTGTCCCAACAGGACACGTGGAGTGGGGATGGGGCGCGTGGCTCCTCCACGTTCCGGCCGCTTCCACGGCTCCGTTCTCCCTCTCTGCGTCTCCATTTCGAGGATGGAAATTGCAAATGTCACAGCTGTGCCCCGAGCCCCAGCTCGCACATGGACCCGCTCAGGGGGAAGCCCTCCCTTCTGCAGCAGCTCAGCGCCTGCAGCACAAAACCAACCCAAAGCTGCGCGAGCCCACCTCGCTCCGTTCTCTCGAGGCAGCACTGCGTGCCTCGGGAGCGGGGCTCATCCCGCACTTCGCAGAGGGGGATCCCAACTCCGCAGCACAGCGTGGGACCGACCCCACTTAACGCACAATCACTGAACAGGGCTGACCCTACAGTAATACATCAGGACAGGACCCCACACCGGCGGGGCAGGGGCAGGGGCAGGGGCACGGCCTGACCCCAACCCGGTGCTCCCTCCTAATCACCAACCCCATCGAGTGCGGGGCGGAACTTCGCTGCCCCGGAACTATAGTGCCGATGTCGCCGCCCCCAACCGGAACCGGAACAACACCGCGCAGGCGCCCTTCCCGCGCCCGGCGCCATTGCGGTGCTGGCGGCGCGGCCCGGCCCGGCCATGGCCACCGACTCGTGGGCCCTGGCCGTGGACGAGCAGGAAGCGGCGGCGGAGTCGGTGAGGCCTTCCCCCTCCCTACACACACACATATACGCACACACACCCTCCTCCATCCCTCTCCCTGCCCCGCAGCCGGGCTCACCGTGTGTCCTTATTGCAGCTGAGCACCCTGCAGCTGAAGGAGGAGAAGGCCAAGCCCGACGCCAATGGTGAGCGATGGGGGGGGAGGGCGGGCCGGGCGCTCCCTGAGGTTCTCGAGCCTAAAGCTCGCTCTCCTCCCCCCGCCCTGCTCCCCCAGGTGCCGTGCTGAAGGCAGACGACAACGTGGAGAGGACGGAGGATGAGGAGAAAGGTGGGTGTGCGCTCGGAGTCGCCGGATCCTTGGAGATCTATTGGGAAAACCCCACGTGTGGCCGCTCAGGTTTCATTCTGCTGCCGTTCATCCTCACCCCACACAGTATTTTGGCCCTGGAACTTTCCCAAGTGCTGTTGCCTCCTGCTTTTCTTTCCTCGTCGGGCTGTCAGTGTCAACCTTAATGGTGGTATGGAAAATAGGGAAACCCTGAAAGCCACCTGCTCCCACGTCAGCAGACAGCGGGGCGTTCAGCCCTGCTTCCCAGTTAGATGCTGAGCTGTAGGAACTGAAATGAGTTCAGCCCTGAGGTCTCCATTCAGCCTCAAAGCTCTGCCAGCTTCACTTTGTGAGGCTTAATGTGTGAACCCGTGGGATGTCCTGGCATTCAGGAAGTCTGCGCTGTCTGCGGGGGGGAATTTGGGTCTTTCCTTCCTTGGGTAGCGCAGCATCAAACCAGAAGCAACACCTGCGATGGCTTTTCCACCTCCCTTTTGGCAGAGGACAGAGCTGCCCAGTCCCTGCTGAACAAGCTGATCCGCAGCAACCTGGTGGACACCAGCAACCAGGTGGAGGTGCTGCAGAGGGACCCCAACTCACCGCTCTACTCCGTCAAGTCCTTCGAGGAGCTGCACCTGTAAGTGCCAACGTGAGCTGTGTGTGATAGATTCATGGACTAAAAGGTGGTTGTGTGGGGTTGTTGATTATATGGGTGATCTCAGCTTTGTTGCAAGGAAAAACGGACCTGCTGTAACTTCACACTGGTTCTGCTTCCTTAACCTTAGTGGCTGGTGTATCCCAAAAGGCAGTGCTCCTATAGCAACCATCTGAGTAACTGCTGTCTTTCAGAAGGCAAACAGTCTGGGGGAGTTAGGAATGAGGCAGCTGGGCTGAGTGAGCCCTGTTGTGACTTGGTGCAGCCTTAGCAACTGTGTCAGAGCTGGGCTTGGTGCGTCCTTGAGCAGTGCAAGGTTACCTCTCAAAGGGCTTTTGTTCCAGCCTTCCTCTGAAAGTGATACCGTCTTTTCAAGCAGTGTGTTGTGCTGAGCAGTGGGAAGTGGTGGACAGAACAAGTGCAACCTGTTTTGAGTTCAGCACTGCTTACTGCTAGGAGCTCCCTGCTACCGTGACCTGAGTTTCAGGTTGGATTAGAGGACAAGATTAGTGGCCTCTATTCCAGGATGGCCAGGATTGTCTGGAAAGCTGCTTTAGAACATGCAAGAAGCACAGCAGCAGCCTCTGGAGCAGTGATACGAGGTTTTCCATGTTGAAAGGCAGGCGTGCAGGATGGCTTAGTAAATTGAAGGTTGTTTTTTTTTTTGGTAAAGCTTCTGTTCCAAAGAGCACTGCGCTGCTGCTTGCAGCTTCCTGCCACTGATGGTGGTCATGCAGCAGTGCAACCCCAGCAGGGATGCAGGTGTCGAGGTCTGGCTGCAAGGGTTTTCTTGCCCTTTGGGATGGTGCAGCTCCTTGCCTCTGAGATATTCCAAGGCAAAGCTTAAGAGAGAACGCCTCTGTTTCCAGGAAACCACAGCTCCTGCAAGGAGTCTATGCCATGGGCTTCAACAGACCATCAAAGATACAGGAGAACGCCCTGCCCATGATGCTTGCTGAACCGTACGTACGCGCGCCTTTCTGCGTCCTCACCGTGTAGGAAGGGTCTGAAAGATCCTTTCAGAGAGGGGAGGACGGCGCTGGGGCTGTGGGGAAAGGACGTCTCAGAGCTGTGGGAAGGCTCAGCCTGCACTGCTCTCCCCCAGCGTTGTGGGGTGGCTGGTTTTCCTGAGCTCACGCTGATGTTGAACCCCGCTGTGTGTCGCAGCAGCCCGCAGAACCTGATTGCACAGTCTCAGTCTGGTACTGGCAAGACAGCCGCCTTCGTCCTCGCCATGCTCAGCCGTGTTGAACCTGGGAACAAGTACCCACAGGTGGGTTGTAGCTCCCGAGTACCCACAGGTGGGTTGTAGCACAGCTGAGCCCTTCTGTGGGGGCTTGGGGTGGTGCAGAGACCCCCTACCGAAGGGCCTGAGCTTCTATGGAGGCTTTTTAAACCCACTTTCCTTGTGAGATAGTTGAGCAGCGTTACTGAGGTTTGAATTCTTTCCTTAAAAAAATCCTGTTGGTGTTGGTTGTCTCTCATCATTCCTCTGTCTCCTCCAGTGCCTGTGCCTTTCCCCAACATATGAGCTGGCACTTCAGACAGGAAAAGTGATCGAACAGATGGGGAAGTTTTACCCGGAGCTGAAGCTTGCGTACGCTGTCCGAGGCAATAAATGTGAGTATGCTGGAACACCACCAACAGACTGCAAATGAAAATGATTTTCCTTGGGTTGAATAGAGCACTGGAACGTAATGGTTTTTAAACATCTGGACAGAATATGAATTTGATGTAACGAGAATTAACTCAGTGGGTGTCCTGGGGCAACGATGAATGCCTGTGGTTTATTCCTTAGCTCAGTCTGAGCTCAGCATGAGTTATATTGTGGCTGATCTCAAAGCTTGACGGGTGGCTTTCTGTCTGGACAGTGGAGAGAGGTCAGAAGATCTCAGAACAGATTGTAATTGGCACACCTGGCACTGTGCTGGACTGGTGCTCCAAGCTGAAGTTCATAGATCCCAAGAAGATCAAAGTGTTCGTCTTGGACGAGGCTGACGTGATGATAGCAACCCAAGGCCATCAGGATCAGAGCATCCGCATTCAGAGGTAAGCATTACAGCTGTTGTGTAACATAGGGGCAGCAGGGCTACACTCTTGGCCTGGTGACTGCCACCACAAAGCAACGAGATTCAAACAGCACCTTTAGCTCTAGTCCTGGCAGCTGGTAGAGGCAGAACGCTGTGGAAAGATGAGCAGTCGTAATTGTCTTCTGGAATAAACCCCAGAGCGTGGCTTTATTCCTTTTTTTTTTTTAAGAATGTGAGCCTGTAAGATGTGGGAATGATCAGGTGTGGGTGAGAGAAGCGTGAGGCTTTGCAGCCACTGAAACAAGTGGCTCTGAGGCTGTCGGTCTGCGTTGCCTGGGGCGTCCATCCAGCAGCAGGTTCTGGGGTGCCGCGAGGGAACGCTGCTCACTTTGCTCTCTCTTGCAGAATGCTCCCCAGGGACTGCCAGATGCTTCTGTTCTCAGCCACTTTCGAGGATTCCGTGTGGAAATTTGCTCAAAAAGTTGTTCCTGACCCAAACATTATCAAGCTGAAGAGAGAGGAGGAGACGCTGGACACTATTAAGCAGTATTACGTTCTGTGCAATAGCAGAGATGAGAAGTTCCGTGCTCTCTGTAATATCTATGGTGCTATCACCATTGCCCAGGCCATGGTCTTCTGCCACGTGAGTCCTTTTGGGGAAAGTTACTTCCAGCAACCCCATTGGCCAGGTGTCCTTTTCAGAATGGAACCCAAGGAAGGGATGGGGAAGGGATGGGGAAGCCTTACAGTTCATCTGATACGTAGTTATTCCTGGCCCTCACATTTGGTAATTGCTGTCATACCAGCTCTGTGAGCTACACCAAGGCTTTTCCCTGGAAGCCACCGTAGATCTGAGAAAAAGCAGTGCAGATAGCTGTGCAGAGCTCTGCTGGTGAAGCTCAGACCGGGTGGAACCTGTAGGTTCAGTCTGCTGCAGCAGCCTGCTTTTCTGCTGCCTCCTGGCGTCAGCCATCCTCAGAGTTCAGGAAACCAATAGGAAACAGTTTAATTCAACACTGTGTAGAGCCTCTGTTGGATTTCCCAGCTTCTTTCTGCTCAAAGGTTGCCCCTTTCCAAGCTGAGTGGCTTTGTTGTATAATGACGATGGTTCTGAGACTTCAGCGCATGGGCATAACCCAAACCTCGCTTGTAAAGTGGAGTAAAACTTCCTCCCAAAGACAGGCTTCGCTTTGTGTTTCAGACCCGGAAGACGGCTGGCTGGCTGGCAGCGGAGCTCTCGAAGGAAGGCCACCAGGTGGCACTGCTCAGCGGGGAAATGATGGTGGAACAGAGAGCCGCGGTGATAGAGCGCTTCCGAGAGGGCAAGGAAAAGGTGCTGGTGACCACCAACGTGTGCGCCAGAGGTAAGGCGAGGCAGAGCTGTGCCGCGAGGGGCAGAAGCAGTGCTTTGTTCACACTGCTGGGAGGTTTGCAGACAGCATTTCTATCCTCAGCTTCCACTGCAGACAAATGAGGGTCCCGAGGTGACTCTGAGCAGTTCAGGCTGTTTCTCATTAGCCGTGCTGGTGGGATTCTCTGTGCTGATAGCTGGATGGCTTGTATGTCAAAGTACCCCAGAAGTATCTCGTGAAGAAGGTTTATTTCCAGCTGCACGTGTGGGTTCTGTGGTTGTTGCTGCTTCTTGTGTTGCTTCAGAGTTTGAGACTAGCTGTTAAATCTTCCTTCAGTCCGGGGCAGCTGTCTGAGTATCTGTTGGAGGCTCTGACCAAAATACACACGGGTCAGGCCACAGGAGGCTGATCCTGCTGCAGAATCGTGGCATCTGCTGCTTTCTTTGATCAGGGATCGATGTGGAGCAGGTCTCTGTTGTTATCAATTTTGACCTTCCTGTGGACAAGGATGGAAATCCAGACAATGAGACCTACCTGCACCGCATCGGGCGCACGGGTCGCTTCGGCAAGCGAGGGCTGGCGATCAACATGGTGGACAGCAAGCACAGCATGAATATCCTCAACAGGATCCAGGAACACTTCAGTACGTGTCCTCAGGCTTTTTTTTTTTCCCTAAAATTAGGGATAATTCTGAGCTGCTGTGGATGTGAGCAGATCTGACTGACGGCTGTTTGCTGAGCCCGAGCGGATCAGTGCAGCTCCTCAGGAGGAAGCAGCTTTTCCCTTTGCTGCCCTCTGCCGTGGTGTCTGACCCGTTTCTTGTCTTCCACAGGCAAAAAGATCAACAGATTGGATACTGACGACTTGGATGAAATTGAGAAGATAACTAACTGAAGGACAGCTGCTGGAACCGGAGCGTACCCTGCAGTGGAAGCTCTCCCACTCCAATTGGATCAGATTGGCACGCCTCCCAGCTCGTCCCAAGAGGACTCCTAAGATACGAGTACACAAAAATTACCTCATTTTAAAAATTGCAGTTGGACTTTCAAATGTGCAACTAAAGGGGGGGGGGAGGAAGAGGAAATGTTTACAGAAGCTTTTAACATTTCTTAGTCTAGCCTTAAAACGGGGGAGATCTTTTGAGTGCTAAGAAGTAAACTTGCCACGAGTGGGCAATGCGTAATTACTGAAAACTTATCTGGGGGAAGAAAAAAATAAAAGAAAAAAGCTTTATTGCTTTTAGTTGAAGCAAAGTTCAACGTAAACACGATCAGTTAAAAGACAAAAAAAGAGACGAAACCAAGGCAGCTGGTTTTTAGGTAAAAACTCAACTTGTACAAAATAGGATGTCAACTTCTGAGCTCTTCAGACTCATTTCTGGCTTAATGATGGATTTGCCCAGCTTCTCGTTAGGTAAATTGCCCAGGGGGGTCTCCAGTAAGTCAGAGTCTCTAACACAGGTGCCGTGTTGCTTTTGCTGGGCAGTGCTTTCTTTTTACTTTGTCCTTGATCTGTTAGAGCAGCCGCTGTGCAGTGGTGACAGTGCTGAAGTCAGTGCTCGAGAAATTCACCTGAAGCATTTAACCTTGCCAAACGATTGAGGGGTGGGTAGGGAGGGGGGGATGGTGTGAAGGGAACTGTACTAATTAGTTTTCTGAATAAATTTGCCTCTGTAAAATGCTAGCATCCATTGGAGTAGGGGTCAGCCACCTTCAGGCAGGCGGTGCTGGTTCTGAGATGCTGCTGTGTGAATCATGTATACAGAACTGCTGGATTTCACTGACCAATAATAGAAGTATTTGTCTGGCTTTAAAAAAAAAAGGAAAAAAAAAAAAACCAACCTCCTTTTAGAAATGCCAAATTTGTACCTGTGATGGGATGCTTCAATATCAGAGGTGGAGGGCAAGCGCTCCCCGCTTCCATTGCGCGCAGTGCAGCTCAGCCGTGCCCCTGCCTCAAGGTGAGCCGTGCCAGAGAAGGGACGAGCAGCAACTCCTGTGGCTTTGAGTTGGCTTGGGACCACTGCACCACACAGGGAAAGCCTGCAGGTTGCAGCCCCAGCCTGGTTTGCAGGAGATGGAGGCTCCTGAGCTCCTGGGGATGCGCGTGAGCAGCCGCCGGCCGCTGTAGGAATCACTTCCCAACAGATGTACACAGTGTAAATTTAAAACTAGGAGTTTATTCTGGCCGCCATATTCTGTTCAAAGACAGGAACGTGGATCCTTTTACCAAGTAAAAAAAAAACAAAACAAAACAAAACAACAAGAGGCTCGTTTAAAATGTACCTAAAATTTTAGGAAACCGTGCACCCTTTTATGGATTTGTATAAAGGCTTTAGTGGGGGGGGGAGAAAAAAAAGAAAAAAAAAATGAAAAAAAATCTGTGAAACTCTTTTGTATTCTGGGGTGTATCTATTTTTATTCAGTTGGAAACCTATTTAAAGTGGCAGGTGAGTGAGTGCTTGCGTGCAGAGTGGAAGACTTGTTGCAATCACCTCCTTTCGTGGTACAGCTGAACGAGCTCGTGACAGCAGTGAGTTGAATTGTCATGAAAGCTGCTGCTGGGCCTGTGTGCTGTTTCTAATGTACTTTTAATTGGAATAAAGAACACATACCGACTGCTGCCTCAGCTTGTTTCTTAATGCCTTCTTGTTGTTGAAGAGCCGTAGGTAGGGAGCAGCCCAGCCGCGAGCTCTGATCCGTTTTCTATTCAGGAACACCTCAAGGTGATGCTTCACCTCCTGCTCATACAGGGACCAGTTTGCAAAGGGCAGAGGGGGAGAAGTGGGGCAGCAGCTTCTTCCTGCACTGCGTTTGCCTAGATGGAGATTTGATGCACTTTCCTATAGAAAAATACACTTCTTTGGAGACACTGCAGTCCACGGGTCGGTCGGAGGGCTGAGCTGTCTGATCCAGGCCATCTCTGGAACATTCAGCTTGGTGAAGAGGAGGCCGAGCCTCCAGCAAACAGAAATCATTGCCAGTTCAAATTTTAGCTGAGAAGGTTTTATTGATTATTTTTTTTTGCCATCACACTGTATGAAAATACTCTGACAGCAGCAGTGACATCACACACACACAGCAGGCACCAGTCCCTGCCTGCTAACGCTGCCGTGCTCTTCTTCTACCACCCACATCCGTGGTCCTGAGCTGCCCACGTTCTCAAGGCTGCTGCAAATATCACAACAGAGCGGCTGTGAAAGGTCTGATGAAAGCATCCCAGGTCTCGTGCTCTCCCTGAAGATGCTGGCATACCTACAGCTTGCTCACCAACAGCTGCAGCAGAGACCTGGACCCTTGAACACTGACTTTGGAATGAAATTCAACATTCTTGGTCAATACTGGAATGAATTTTCTACTGTTATCGCTCTTGTGAGCTGCTCTGGCAATTCTGCTGAGCTGAAAGCCTGGGTTTTCCTCACAATGTTATAAAATGAGCTCAGCTGTGTGGCAAGCTGTCCACTTTTTTAGCACAGACAGACTAAGTTGCCCTACTCACGACTTTTGACAAAACAACTTTGCAAGAGCCATATTGGTTCAGTAAAACAAAACTGCTGGATGAGCCAATTCCTCTCCCAAAGCCAATTAATACAGAATTGTAAGCAAAAGAAACAACAGCCAAACCTCCCATTGCAGCACTTGGCCTGAAGACTAATTCATTTCAGCATAAAAGCATTAAGTGAAGTATTTTGCAGCACCCCACCTTGACTGTCCAGCTCCTCTGAACTACCAGTCGTCAAACAAGAGAAGAAAAACTGAGGAGAAAATCCCACTGCTCACCAATACAACCACAATCCAGCTGAGTTTCACAGAGTACAACAGTTCTGCTTCTGTCTTCCCGAATGCTTGATCCCCTCTGGGAAGTGGCACCTTCAGAGAAGAGGACGCAGAAGAAGGTTCCTGCTCTAAGGACAGAACAAGCATCTAAGAAGGAAACTGTTAATTTCAAAACCAAAGTTGGTGGCACTCAGGAAGGAACTTGTGGATAAAAGACACTGTCCCTGCAGTCAGTCTAGGTGGGTACACTTGAAGCAGCCCTTCAACACGTGCTTTTGGTAACCACGAGTCTGCTTCAAGGGAACTTGTAGAAAGATGAAGAGGACCAAGCTGCTCCAGTGCTCGGCTCAGCTTACAGGTCGGCGTCCTGCTGCTCGGCCTGCCGGATGCACAGCACAGACTTGTGGGGGATCCCACACTCCTGCAAGGACCTGCTGAGGTCATGGAAGCTCCGTCTGGGCACCTCTGTGGTTTCAATGCTGCAGCGTTCATATTTGGCAGCTGTTTGGTGTTGTGCTATAGCAAGGACTGTCTGGAGACTGTCTGTGGGCTTGAAGTGATGTTCAAACCGTCGACCGGAGGGAGACCGAATAGCAAGCAGCAATCGTGACTCTTTCTGCAGCGGTGCTTCCAAACTCAGAGTTGATAACAAAGAGCTCTTTTTCCTTCCTGGCTTCTCAGGAGCACACCAGGCTTCTTCATTAGGGACATGGCTTTCTGGTGACCTGCAGGCAGATCTTTGCTCTCCAGAAGGAACCGCAGTTTTTGGAGCACCCTTCTGTCCCCAGCTCGCATCCAGACGGCCGCTCTGCTCCGCTGCACCCTCCACTCCCTTTCGGCCAATGGAGGGGAGCACTCTGTATTTGTTCAGGGAGGACGAGCTCCGCAACGGCACCTGCTGCAGGAGCTCAGGGATCTCCTCTGGGGAGATCTGGCCGGAGGGGAACACTGCTTTCACAGATGATGCTCTCCGGCTGCTCTGTAAGTCATGTGGAGCTGCTGGCGATGATGGCACTGCACAAGGAAAGGTGTCTGTGGTCCCAGAGTAATTGAAGGTTGACCTCGTGCGACCCTTGGCAGATTTTGGCCGGGTCATGTGCATGGTGATGGCGTTTGGCTGAAAGACAGAGAGCGCCGTGCTTGAAGGGAAGTAGCAGCAAAGTTGTACTGGGTTCAGAAGAGCTGCTGTGGCCATTGCTTCCCAAGACACCTGCAGTTCGGAAAGCAGAATGAAAAGTTACAGGAAACAGCCTAAAATGGCCTTAATTTCCCTGCTGACTTCGTGCTGCATATCATCTAATAGCAAAGATCTGGTGCATCACAGACTGAAACCTGTGGCTCAGTGCTGGCAGCCGGAGACAAAGGAACACACGCCACTGTAAGCGCAGAAATTGCTTACAGCTGACTGGTCTCCCCAAAACAAGCAGAAGGAATGGAACAACCACTCAGTGCCCATTCGAGGCAGGGCTCTGAGGAGCAGCAGAACACACGCTCCTCCTGCCAACTGCAGTCACACGGGGGTGTTTGATTGACTCCTGCCAACAAACATGCTCCAAGGCAACAAAGAGGAAATTCTGAATGCATTGCAGCACTTCTATACAGACTTATATAAACGTTTAGATACATGGTTACACCCCACACAACCAAAATGCCCTCAGCCACCACAGTGAGACTCCTCCAAGTGAGGGTCTCCAGCTCCCCAGCACCACACGTGTTGTCAACACACAGCAGTTTAACTTTGGGTGCCCGAGCTGCTCTACGGGGTTGGGACAGAGCACTGCAGCACCCACAGGGACCCAAAGTGCTGTGCCCTATGACTTGGGGTGGCAGTAGGCCCCGTTTTTGGGGTCAGCCCCAGCCCTGCAGTGCAGCCCAGCTCCTTAGCAGAGCCTCTAGTGCCCCAGCGCCACAGCTGAGCCCAGTCCAGACCCTCAGCCAGTCCCCAGCGCCACAGCTGAGCCCAGTCCAGCCCCCACAGCCCATCTCTGACCCCAGTCCCCAGCCCCACGGCCCGGCCCCGCCGCCTCACACCTGCCACCCCGGTGCCGCCCGCGCCCGCCGGTAAACACAGCCGCGTTGCCACGGCGACCGTCCCACTTCCGGCTACCACAGAGAGGAGCGGCCGCGCTGGGCAGAGCGCCCCCTTGCCGCGGTCCTCCAGGCGCCACGTCAAGGCCGAGGCTCACCCTAACTTTACCGTTTTAACCCCAAAAACTGACCTGAGCCTTCTGCTTTGCTCAGGATGAGTGTTCAAACCCCGGGAGCGTGGCAGCAGGGCGACCACACAGCCCCACTCCCCTGGGTAGAACTGGAACAAACCCCAAACCCATCCATTGGGACGAGAGCTCCTTCCAAGAGCCGCCCAGCACACGCACCGAGCCCATAACCCAGTGCCTCCACAAAAGGCCCCGACCCACCTGGTGTGGGGCAGGGTGGGACCAGAGCTGCCTCCAGCCTCACCCCCCTCTCTGTGCACACAAAGCATCATTTTCTTACTGACAGATTTCCTCCCTTGGAAGCGGGGTTAATTACCAAGGGTGGAGCAGTGCCTATGAATACAGGCAGAGCCTGCTGTCTGTTTGCTCTGGGCTGCCTGGCTGCTCGGCAGTGATAGCAGCCTTTGTGTGTTATCTCCTCAGGTGCTCTGCCTCTCTTTGCATCACGTTGTGGCTGCAGTGATTCAATAACCTGTGCTCCAAAGGCATCCCCGGTGGGGCTCTCATGGCTTCCAGCCTGCTTTGCCCACGGTCTCACGTTGCAGAACCTTTGAGAAGCCTCAGGCTTCTCCCACACGCTGGTTGTACCAGATTTGGCGAAGATTGCATGGGAAAGACTGAAGAGCAATCAACTGAAGGGCTGCAGAGGACAAGCTGCTAACAGTACTCACTAGCTACACTGCCAAGGTTGGAGCACCGTGTCTGTAGCCGAGCCTCCACCTGACCAGATATCTTTAGGGCACACTTGTATCCCTACAGCAAGCAAGGTTTCCTGGTTTTGTGCAAGGGGCACCAGCAAGGGACAGGGGGAGGATCTCTCCCCTCTTTATCCATATAAAGCAAACCCGCCAAGCCCCAGAGCCGCAGGGAGAGGAGGGTGGGATTTTATTGCCCCCATTTCATCACCAGTCCCAGAGTGCTGCTCGCCGCCCTCTTCCTCCATCATGAAGATGAGGAATCTCCTGCTTGCCCTGCTGCTGGCTTACGGTGAGTCGGCCGGTGAGGCTGGGGTCTCAACCCCCTGCATGCAAACCATACAAACTCACGGGCTTTGAGTATCTTTTGTCCGAGCTTTGCCATTTCCCTGCCATGCTCAGTGTGGTTGGGGGGGGTTGGGTGATGGGCCACGTTGATGCCACTCTGTCCCCCCATCTCTCTTTGCAGGGCTGCCTCCGGCGCGTGGCAGCTTGCTGGAGCTGGAGCGCATGATCAGAGTGACCACAGGGAAGAGTGCCCTGCTCTCCTATAGCTGGTATGGGTGCTTCTGCGGCATCGGGGGCAGAGGGACCCCAGTGGACCCCACTGACACGTGAGTACCTGGAAAATCATGCTGCTGCCGGGCCACGTGCTCCTCCCGGTCACCTCACGTTTGGGGCTGGCGCTTCTCTCACCTCTGACACATCTCCTGCAGCTGCTGCCATGCCCACGACTGCTGCTACAGGCAGCTGCGAGAGAGCAGCTGCAGCCCCCTGATAACCCCGTACCAATTCGATGTCACCGATGGGGACATCAGCTGCGGTGAGTGCCAGGGAGCAGATTGCCTGGCGAGGCGGTGAGAGCACAGGGATGGCACAGCAGCACTGGGGCAGAGCATCACGTTTGTCCCCCTGCAGGTGATGAGCAAAGCTGGTGCAAGAGAGAGACCTGCCTGTGTGACAGGGCCATGGCTTCGTGCTTTGCCAGTGCTCTGCCTTCCTACAACGTGTCCTACCGCTTCTACTTCAAGCTGAGGTGCAGAGGGAGCAAGCTGCAGTGCTGAAATCTGCATGTCTGCCTGTTTTGAGTGCCTTTCCTCGTTGCTGTGGGAAGGACAGGGTGATGTGGGTGCTGAGAGGGGCTGCAGCCCTCCTCCCAGTGAGGTGATGCGCAGGGTGAGCAGGGCACATGCGATAGCTGGAGATCCCCAGCTCCCCAGAAGAGTTCTTGTCCCCTTCTTCTTCTCTTTTCTCTACTGATTTTGTTCTCCAGCAAAAAGGAATTGAATAAATGGTGTGAAAAATGCTCTGTGGTGTTTTGCTGTTGGACCGCTGAGAGATGGGTCTGTCCCAAGCTCGATCCCCAGCATTGAGAATTGGGGACAAATAACATGCCACCAAGTAAAACTCCCTGGGGTTTGTCAACAACACTTCCCTGCAGCGAGCCTGGGGCTGGTGGCTTCTCCCAACATCCCCCTCCTTCTTCTCTGAACTCACTCCCAGAGCTAACATGCAGAGCAAACTTCATGTTTTGATGGTCAGGGGATCATCCCTTCCTACTGCAGTCAGAAAAGCCATTTTTTGCCAGTATTCAAGGATTGCCTGCCCCCTGTGAGCCCTTTTTAGGGCTTTGATTTACACCTTCTGAATCAGAGCTGGCTATCCCCCAGCACAGCACCAGCAGGGCTGGTAAAGCAGTGGAAAACACCCCCGAGCTGCTAGGGCTGGGGCAGAGTGTATTGCCTTCCTCCTTCACTGGAATTGACACCGCTTTGCTGTCATCACTGCTGGCATGGATAGAGGCAGGGGGATTTCCTGCATTCACATTAAGGGGAAGGATGGTGCTTTCTCCTTTATAGAAAAGCCCCACTTGCAGAACTGCATGAGTTGAGTTTTCCACAGGTTTGTGGAAGCGAAAGCAAGCCCTATATAAATGGAGCCATGCCAACCACGCACCCATGAGCGGCAGAGGCTTTCCAGAGGTGAGCAGGGTTAGAGGAACACCTTCCTTCCTTTCCTACCTTAACCATAAGCTGTACTGCAAGTGGGGATGGAGGCACAGGCAGAGAAAGCAGTGCTGAGCAGCAGAGCAAAGGCAGTCTGAGACAGCAGTCGAGAGCTGTGTCCCCTCAAGGGCTTCAGCTTTCTCTACATTCTGCTTTTTTTCCTGCTCTCCACCACCCGCTCCTCTTTACTGCTCCATCGCTGACACCCAAAACGCAGCATTTGTTGCTAAAGCTGGGCTGCAGTGGGCATTGCCTCCTTGCTCCATCCCCAGCTGGGGAGCAGGAAGGAGAGAGGTCACCTGCTGCAAGAGGCTTGGTGGTGCAGTGGGAGATGATCTGGCATTGGGTTCCTCTTCCAGGGCGGTAGGAAAGATGAATGCTCTCCTTGCACTGGCCATCCTGTTTGCTTCGGGTAAGTGTCCTTACCTGTGCTGCCAGGGCAGCCACACCTGCATCAAACAGAAGTGTCAGAGCTGTGGCTTTCTCAAGCTTTCACTTTCCACCACCACTTCCCCAAAACACATAACAACCCCCCAGAGAACAGCTCCCCTGTGCTGGGGATGAGTTTCCTCTCCAGCACAGCAGGTAAGACCGCGGTGAGATGACTTGGTGGTGGAATATAGCAGGGGATACCAAGGGGATGACAAAAAAGGGGAGAAAAGTGTTTCTGTCATCACACTGATTCCCCTCCAGGCTCGTCGCCGGCTGCTGGGAGCCTCTGGCAGCTGCAGCAGGTGGTCACAAAGCTGACGGGGAAAAACGCCGTGCTGCATTACTCCTTCTATGGCTGCTACTGCGGTGTAGGGGGCCGCGGGCAGCCCAAGGATGCCACAGACAGGTAAGCACCCATTTAAAAATCTCCCTGCTCAAATTTATCATTCAAATCTGAGGGGTGTGGGAAGCAGGGGAGAAAATCTGAAAGCTCAGAGCCCTGCGCAGATGCTGCCAGCTGCACGATGCCTGCTACGACGGCCTCCAGAAGTACCACTGCAACGCCAAGCAGCAGCACTATCAGTACAGCTGGCGCAGCGGCCGCCTCACCTGCAGTAAGTGGGGATGCTGAAAAAGGGGCTCCTCCCTTCTCAAAATGAAATGAAACGCAATCAAAATCCGTGCTGCTGGCAGACAGGGACTCGTGGTGTGCCCAGCTGTCCTGTGAGTGCGACCGCAGCCTGGGGCTGTGCCTGCAGAGGAGCGCGAGGAGCTACAACCTCCGCTATGTTCTGTACCTCAAGAGCAAGTGCAGGTGGTGAGCACGTGCAAAGCCAAGACTCTTTGGGTTTGGCTCTCTGCTTCACTTCTGGAGCTGAGTTTCTGCACGGACCCGCGTTTGTGTTGGACTGAATCGACGTGAAAATAAATTATGTGCTTAAATCATCTTGGTCCTCTGTGAGCTGGAGCCCAGCATTGCCCTCCCAGTGCTTCCCATTACATTCCAGAGTCTCCTAGCACACACGCAGTACCACCTTGTGCTATGCAGAGCAGCTCAATAACCTCACAGCGCTCTCAAATGCTGCCCGGAGACCCAGAGCATTCCCAGTAACCTCGCAGTGCCCCCTAGTGTTATCCAGAGCCTTTCAATCACCTCTCTGTGCTGTCCAGAGCCTCCTAACACCCTCCCAGTGGACCCCAATCCTTGCTAGAAATCCCCAATATGCTCCCAGTGCTGCATAGCACCCCACAATAACCTCTCTATGCCTTCCCAGTGCAGCTTAGTACTGTCTTGAGCCCTCCAGTCCCCTGCTAGAGCTGCTTAATGTAGCCTAAAGGTTTCCCAGTGCCTTTCCACTGAGCTTCAGCATCGCCCAAAGCCCTTCAGTTAAATGCCAGTGCTCTGTGGTAATGTCTACAATCTCCCAGTGCCCCCCAGTGCAACCAACAGACACCCAGTACTCTTCCAACGCCTCACAAAATGAGACTTTGGACACTCAGCATGGGGCTTTAGGTCAACAAAATTGAGTTTGGGGAGCTGAAAAATAGGTTATGGACCCTGAAAATGGGCATACAGAATGAGAAAAGATGACTTGAGCCCTCAAAAATCATGACTTGCAGCCTATAACTGAACTTGCGAACTCAAAGAATAATTCCCTAGACTGAAGAGTCTGGGCCCTACAAACAGGATTACAAGCCCCTAAAGTTAGTACCTGGATATTCAAAAAGGGATCTTGTGACCAAAAATCAGGATGGTTAGAACCTCCAAGCGGCATTTTGGAGTGTAAGATAAAGAATGAAGCTCAGGACCCAAAAAATGGAGATGGGAGGATGCCTGGGGTCTGTAGGCAGTACTGAGAGCACTGAGAAAGTGCTGAGGGCATCCAGAGAGCAATGGGGGGAACTGGGAGCATACTGGGAGGCTCTTGGGGGTTACTGGGAGGGCATTTGGGGGTCTCTAGATAGCACTGGGGCGTACTGGAAAGCTCAAGGCAATACTGGGAGACAGTGGCAGGGTATTGGGCTGTTGCAGAAAGCTACAGGGAGCAGCAGGGGGTACTGGAAGGGTGCCTGGGGGTCCCCGGACGGCAGCGAGGGGCTCCAGGCTGCGTCACACCAGGCTGTGGGTTTGGCCGGCGAGGGACGGGGCGTAGCAGGACGGCGTGTGGGGACAGGCGAGAGGCATTTCTGCACTTCCAGGCAGGAGCTGGAGGCACAGGGCAGTGCTCGGCCAGGAGCGAGGGATCGGAATTGGAACCGGTGCCATTTCCCGGTAAGAGACCCCAGCCTGACCCTGCTGCTGCTGGGGGTCATCGCATTGCAGAAGTGAAAACAGGGCTGGGGGGGGTGGGAGGAGGGGGAGGAGGCGGCACGCTGAGCCTTTTTTTTTTTTTTTTTTTTTGCCTCGTGATGAAGTGCTTTGAAGGGAAATCTCAGCTGAGGAGCTGCTGCTGCCAAGTCCTCTTTGGTGCGAGGGGCGGTGGGACGCGAGCTGGAGGGGTGGGCGCTGGGACAGCACGGGAATACGCTTGCTTTTGGCCAAGAGGCAGCAGCACCGTGAGAGGGAGCCCTCCTGCCTCCCTCCCTTCAACTTCTGGAGGAATTCGACGTGATTTCAGCAGGGCAAGGTTGGCAGGGCAGCGCCCGTTTCTCCCCCAGGTGCAAGCGAGAGGAAGATGAAGGTCCTGCTGATGCCGGCGCTGCTGCTCGCCTGCGGTGAGTGCAGCTGCGACAGAAAAAGAGATCCCAGCCAAAGCTGCTCCGCTCCAGCCGACCGGGGCTTGTTTATCTCGCTCACAAAATCCCATTTTCCGGTCGCTTCAGGCATGCTCGCAGCTCGTGGGAAGCACCCGCACACGTTTGCTCCGGGGCTGGAAGGGAGCACCGTGGGAAACCTGACTGCCCATGGCTGTGGCTCGGGCTGGGGCCGTGGTCGCGCTGCCTTCATGGACAGGTACAGCATCAGCAAGCGGCAGCAGAAGGGGAACAGGATTTAGCGAAAGTGATTAGCTCCCCTTCCTGCAGCCTTGTCAAGGCAGAGAGCACCAGCTGAAACGGATGGGATGGCAGCACAGGGCAGGGCTGGTCTGAAAACCAGGGTGCAGAAAGGCTGGAGCCAGCAGTTGGAGGCAATGATCGTTATGGGTCCCTTCCAATCTGGGCTATTCTAGGGTTCTGAGAGAGGCTGCAGGGAGAAAAGCTGAGAAGAGGTGGGTGTGTGAGCAGCAGGAGCAGGCTGAGGATTGCCCTGGGTGACTTAGCGCTGGGGGCAGGTTGGAGAGCAGCTAGCAGGCTGTTTGGGTCAGGCTCTCGTTCTCCCTGCAGGTGCTGCCTGCTCCGTGCCTGCTGCTACGCCAAGCTGGCCGCACGCCGCTGCCGCGTGGGACAGACCCAACGCCTCGCCGTGCCCCAGCCGGGGGTCCCTGCCTGCAGTAAGTCCCCACAGCCATGCTTTAGGATCCTGGCACCTTGATAAAGTTCCCACTGCCACCCTGGCAGCTCGCTGGGTTCTTCCTACAGCCACCATCCCAGCGCCGTGCTTCCCCTCGCTCCCATAGGCTCCGGGACGCGGTGCCAGCGCGCAGCCTGCAGGTGTGAGCGTTTGGCTCAGCTGTGCCGGGCTCGCAGCCGGGCGCTGCGCAGGTGTCGAGGCAGGCGCTGCTGATGGAGAAAGGCTCCTCGTCATAAACCCACCTCCATGCTGGTAAGCAAAGCGGAGCTCGGCGCGGCGCCAGGAGCGCCTCCCGATGCTCTTCTTCGAGGCTTTTTGGTTACGACAGGAGGACAGCCGCCCTTTTGTGAAGCTGCGTCATCGGACACTGGGTGTGAGGAGGGCAGCGCAGATGGAATGTTTCTGCTCAGAAAAACAAGGGAGGAGCAGACACCTGTGCCTTGTCACAGCAAAGGGCGAGATGATGGAAGCGGTCTTGCTGTTGGCGTCCACCCCTTTTGGCTCAAGCTCCCCCTTGGTAAATCACTGCGGAGATGTCGGCTCCCTCAGCTTCTTGCTTCGCTGCAGAATCTTGTATGTTGCTCCAAAATAAAACCAGAGAGCACAAAGCTTCGGTCTTCTGTGACTTCACTGTGTTCAGTGACAACCCCTAGCACTGAGGGAAGCTCATCTGTTAGCAGGGCTTCCTGTGGAGACACCAATAAAAAAGTCACCCAGCCTGAAGGAGCAGAGCTGAGCAGCAGGGTCCAGAGCCTGCTTATATCGCTGCCCACTGGTACCATTCCCTTTTTGCAGAAAGGAGAAGTCCATGCTCCCTGAAGGGCGATGCATCCCCCATGGTGCTCACTGGCACCCCTCAGCCTTCAGCTCCCTACAATTTGCAGCTTCCCCGAGGCAGAGAAATGGAAGCTGCTGTGAAAGTCAGTGGGCAGGCAGGATGCTGCAGGAGGGCTGGCTGCCAGCGAGCTTTGCTGCGATGGGACGGCGGGGAAATCACACTTGCCTCACAGTCAGAGCAGAACAAAACATGTTTCTCATCAGAAAAGAATGCTTGGGCCTTATTTTGCAACAATCTCCAGCATGTCCCTTAGGAAAAGGCAGTTCAGGCAGCAGCTGCTTCCTCTCACCCCAAGCATCCTCACGATGGCAGGTTTTCTGCCCTGCAGGTAAATTCAGCACAGCTGACCTCATGGGAGAGCCTGGGCAGTGCTGCAAACCCCGTGGGGCTTTGCATCAAAGTACAACCCCCAAAACAGTGACAAAAGCTGGTGTCCACAGGAGCGCCAGCTGCAATTCACACTCTAGCTTGTCCCAGATGTGATGAGCAGTACCAGGAAATACCCATTGAACAAGGAAGCATCCCTGAACAAGGAAGTGTCCCTTGAATCAGAAATGCCCTCCACAGCTGCAAACCAGGCACCCACTGCTTAGCCCTGGGGGGGCACGAGCACCCACTGGGAAGGAGAGCGCAGCCCTGCGCCAAGCAGCTGCTGTTTGCAAGGTGTAAATCAAGGATCGTGTCCTTGTCAGAATGGGACACAGAGGTGATTCAGCTGACAGACTGCACACCAGGATGAGTTGCAACACTCTCTCCCTGTTTAAATTTGATATATTTTTCTGCTGGGACACCCGGCTATACAAACAGCTTACCTGGAGCTCCACAGGCAGCTCTGTTAGCTCAGGTGCTGCACAAGTGCTGAAAGCAGCGCTGGAATTGGTGCACAGGGCATGGAGGAGAAAGAAGGCAACTCCATGTAAACATGCCAAACTCATTAATTATTACCAGCAACCCCAGCCAGACCCCAAGAATGTTGTTACAGCACTTGCTGGGGCACAAAGATGTGCAATGCTTAGCATCACTTGGGACTGAGCACAAAACATTTCTGCATCTCACCCACGTCAGGACAGCAGAAAGATAAGATAGTTGGCACTCTGCATTTTCTCCCTGTGCAAGCACGCAGGGAAACAGTAAGAGACAGCAGGGTGCTTTCAGAAGCCATCTAGAGACAACACTGCTACGGTTTTCCCCCCAGTTCTCCCTATTTGTGGAAAGTACTGAGATGATCAGAGTCACGCACAAACAAGACTTCACTCATTTCCAGTCCATGTAAACATCCCCTGCCCTCCCATCAAAGCGCATCCCGACATTTACAAGAAAGGGAACTGCACCTCAGCAGGCCTCCAAGATGCCAGCAGCAGCTTGCACATGTAACAGAACCAATACGAGGACTGTCAATATTTGCCCACTTTGGAGAAATCAAAGGAGGAATCGCGCTGAGCGGACCCACATCAGCTATAAAACGTGCAGCTGGGCTCACACTCAGCACCCTGGGATCATCCTGCTCCAGTGCTGCCCATCACGAGGCCATGAAGCTCCTGGTGCTCCTTGTCTGCCGTGAGTACCCCTCGCACAGTGATGGGGCAAGGCTGGGCTGATGGCCCCTCTTTTTCAGTCCGTTTTTAGGGGGTTCTCTTTCCAACGCCACTAACAGCGTGTCTCCAGTTGCAGGGCTGGCCCCCGCGGGCTGCAACGTGGCTCAGTTTGCTTCCATGATTAAAGAAAAGACTGGGAAGTCTGCACTGTCCTACAACGGCTACGGCTGCCACTGCGGACTTGGGGGATCCAAGAGGCCGGTGGATGCAACAGACTGGTAAGTGAGGAGGCAGAGGGCTGCTGCCAGCCCTCTTTTCCCAGAGCTCAAGGCAGGGTGTAGCCGGGGCAGGCAGAGCAGGGAAGAACACGGGGCTTTTCCTGAATCTTAGATCATTTGTCTTCTCTGCCTCTCCCTGCGTACGAGGCTTGGAGCTGAGGTAGCAATGCCAAAACAGTCAGTGTAACCTTAACGCGTGCCTTTAAAAGCTGCTCAGCAGCACCAGCTCACCATGCTCACCAGCTTACAAAAGGAGGACAATCCCTGAACAAACCTGGGCTAATTAAGGCAGCCATTTGGTGTCACACCAAGTTGCTGAGGCAGAAAAATGGGAACGTTCAGGTGAATGAGGCTGCTCAGCAAGCGCTGCACCCAGCGCACAGAGGTTGTGCACCACCACCGTTTCCCCTCTGCTCCCCACTCTGCCCTGATCAGATCTCATGTGACACCAGGTGCTGCCATGCCCACGACTGCTGCTACAAGAAGTTGTCATCCTTGACCTGCGTTCCCCACCTTGTCCTTTACACAGTCTCCATCAAGGGAGGCCAGATCACATGCGGTAAGAGATGGCACGAGGTCCAACCACTCACACTTCCAGGGAATCCCTTCCTTGGTGTCCTTCAAACTAACCTGGCTGGGAAACCACTTGCTGGGGAGGGGGGTGGAAGTGAAGAAAAGGTGCCAGGAGTGGTGCTAACCTACCAGCTGGAGCTGTGGTAAAGTCTAGAGCTACAAAGGATGGGGGTTCCCCTTCTATAGAGGCCAAATATTGATCCAGTACAACTGGACACAGAACACTTGAGGTTTTCTAATCTGGATGGGGTCACCCTGATGTCCCAGCTGTTCCTTGTGCCAATCCGAAGCAAAAAAACACAATCTCTGGGTGAAGGGACCAAAACCAAGCACTTCCTCATGACCAAAACAAATATCTATATAAAGTAAACTGAAGGCTCCCTCCAGGGTCATTATTGGTTTGTAGCCACACAGCTCCATGCCCCAGGGGGAGGATGCTGGCAACAGGACTCATCATCAGCCACCCCAGGGTTCATGGGGATGACCTGAAGATAACTCCAGCTCTCGCCCTCCCCTTGTTTTCCTTCAGGATCTGGGAATTCATGCCAAAAAGGTACCTGTGAGTGTGACAAGGCGGCAGCAGAGTGTTTCAAGAGGAACCTCAAAACCTTCAACAAAAGCTACCAGAATTATTTAAACTTCAAGTGCAAGGGCTCACTTCCCTCTTGCTAGAGATGCCAGACTCAAAACCTGATGGAAGTGCTCTAAATTGAGATTCTCTTCCTGCAGTGAGATGGAGCAAGGCACAACTCCAGACCTGCTCCACCAAAAAGGCACTTGGAACCTCTCCGCCAACCCTGCCAGACCCTGAATTGGTGCACAAGGAAAGCTTGCTCCTCAGAATTAAATAAATCAAAAAATCTTTGCAAATAAAAATAATTTTCCAAGACAACTTCTAATGTGTCGCTTCAAGACAGTGCCTAAACGGGTGGGAAAGCTGTAGCAGAGCTATTGGATCCAACACTACAAGGCAGCCAGACCACAGGTGCAAACCAGCCCTGTCCTGCCAATTACTGACTTACTAAAGCTGTGGGTACTGCCAGGGCTTTAGGGTTCCATTAGAGAGAGGACTTCAAGTTATACCTAAACCTCTCCTCAGTCAGAAATCTGAACCAAACATTTCTACCAGAAGGGAAAAATGAGACAGAACCTGGCTGGGAAAGAGCTAATCAAGTCAATGCTGCCCTCTAAGGTTTCTGAGTGCAAACACATTTCACTCCAGCCAACAGCAAAACATTTATATATTGACATTTCTATGTTGGTTTGGAAGCTTGACAGAACATACAGATTATGTATAGTTCTGGGTTTTTTTAATGCTTCTTACTTTGAAAAGAAATCATTTCATCTCTGCCCTGGTTAATAAGGTATCTCCTGCTGTCTGTTGTGTGTAAGTACACACGTGCTTTCTTCAAGCTGATGCTCAATACAAATCCAAAACTTGACTGAAGCTGAACTACTGCAAGCCATAAATCTGAGGCCAAGTCCTGTAGTGCTTCTACTTCAGTTCAAATTCCCAATCCTGCAGTAGAAAGCACCACAGGTTTGAGAGGAAATTAAGATTAAAATCCTACCCTAGAAAAAGCCTGATTTACAAGGAGTGAACCAGGCATAGTTTCCAGTAAGCACTGCTGCTTGGAAGCCTTTTCCCCAAGACTCTCGATCCATTGGTTATACTAATTTCATTTAGAGACTAATGACTATCAAGATCCTGGCTTGCACTAAAGCTCTGCAGTTCCCCTAAGGCTCCAGAGTATGGCAGAGGAGAAGAGACTGCAGATGTCCCACTAACAGCACTCAGCACAAACCCCAGGTCTGCTCGTATCATATTTTACTACCTTGTTAGACCTCACCAGATCGAATGTATCAGCTCTGCAGCCACAGGAGTCCATTCCCAGATGAAAAAGAAAAGAGGAATCTCATGTTTGACAGTATTGGCTGATACTTTTTTTTTTTTTTAAAAAAAAGAGAATTTTGGGACTATTCCCTTATTTTTTAAACTTAAATTAAAAAAAAGCGCATTCCTGAGTTGAGAACTGTTATCACTTTCCCTGACAGTAAGGTAAAATAAATCTCCTCCGTAGTAAAAAGTTGCCATAATAAATCTAAGCACATGAAGAGATCTCAAGGCAAATCTGACGCTGCTGTGTAATGAAAATTCTCACCTTCATCATCATCACCACCAAGATAATGAAAAGCAGTCCCTACTTTTTTTTTTTGTTAGGTTTAAAACTCTTCTCTCACACAGGTTGCTGTAGGATTACTGAACAACTGCCTGCCCTGCAAGTGAAGAAACAAAGTGCCTATGTGCTCAGCAACCTCCGCACAAAACAATTTCACAGTAACAACAGATGCTTGGAAGTTTGCTTAAGAGGAAATTTATCTTCATCAGTATCCTTTGCTTTTCTCACCAGGACGCTCAGAACACGTTCAGTCATATATTTAGAGCTGCCATGGTCTTCACCAAGGTTATTTGGTTATCTGAGTCCACCTCTGTCCTGTTGCTATCTGCACAGTTACTCCTACTGGCCAAGACCTTCTGTCGGTGCCTTTCTTCCTGCCGCTTCTTCTTCTCCAGCCGCTGCTGTTCCTTCTTTTGTTTTTTAAATACCTGAGAAGGGGAGAACAAAAACAAAGCTGAAAACAGACATTCTGTGCCCAGCTGAGGAAAAATAACACGGTGGAAAGGAGACAAGCAGATACCAAAGCAGCTGCCAGAAAATGCTTATTCCAGACTATTTATCTGAACTTTGTGTCACTGTGGGAAGAGCGCCGTACGTCATTACAAAGTGCTCGTCTTTGTTGCTGCTACAGCTGTGGCTTTTCTCACAATCCAGTAACTGGAAGTACTTCTTAATTAAAAGGAGAAAATCATTGCTGGTTAAGCCATCCTAAGCGCTCCCCTGATCTTTAAAGGATGTTTCAATCACCGCCAACCCACCATGCACATACCTTGAAGTTTTTATTAGCTCGACTCTCTTCATCAGGTCTAGCTTTGGTATTTTCTGTTTCATGGTGATGCAAACTCTGACTTCCAAAGATTCTTGAACTGCTTCCATTATCTTCACACAGAGGTGAGGCACACAGCTTCTGACCTTCGCTCTGGGGATCGCTCTGCTCCTCAGCACCTACCAACAACACAGTTTTGTCTCAGACACTCTACACAGAAGCTGTCTCTGTCAGCCAATTCCTTCTTCCAGGCTTTCTGGAACAGTGATTTTTTTTGGAAGCTGGATCAAATATGGAAAAAGACAAAGTTCAGTCTGCTCGCTTCTGTCTGCTCTTGTAGGACAACATGTTTGTCACTTGCTGCAATGCAGAAGGGGGTCTCTTCACACTAACCCAGTGACATGCTCATATTTTTCAGAAGCATCAGAACAAAGCTCTACTGACAAGTACTCCTAACTTCACAGGGGAGACACTACATCACAAGCAACAAAAAAGAAAAGTCAGGGCCCTTAGTGCTCAAGAACTGGGTTACACCTGGGTACATCAGGCTGTCCACAGAATAGATCTAGGACAGAACATGCCCAGGGATGTTAAAGTCTGAAAGCACAGTTATCTGGTGAGGAGGCCACAAGAACGGCTCCAGGGATTACTAACCTCACACAGAGCTTTTCAAGATTTTAGTGGGGAACAAACAGGATGCAGTATGCTCAGTGTCACAGTAGGAACTTAGTTCAGTGCTTTCAGCAGACCCTGGTCAGTCTCACAACTGGCATTGCTACCAAAGACTATGCAGGAGCACAAAATCTGCCCTCCAAGCTTTTCTAAGTAAAGAAGAGGCAGCAGCACAGCTAACAGGAAGCTCCTGCTGCCAATGTCCCTGCTGAACTGCTGTTCACAGTGAACATTAAGGTCAGACAGCATTTTTCTGAGGCACTAAGTGACAAAGTCCACGTACTTACTGATTCTTTCCACTTCCTGCACTTGAAAGATGGCAAATATTGCAGATTCTACGTTGTAGTCTTCCACTTTCAGAACCTGGCTTACCAACTCAATGTCCTGTCCAAGAGAAAGATAACATCAGAGTTCAAACCAGTGACATACAGACATCTGTTCAACAGCCACCTGCTGCTGTTTATGCTGTTCCCATTAGCTCATACTCAATTTCTTCAAGAAAGTGAGGGGAAAAAATAATTAAAAAAAAAAAAGTCCTGAAGATACCAGGTACACTGTTTCAGCATAAATATTTCACACTTGATCCTTTCTGTTCTCTGCATCTTTAGTAACCACATGTCATCTAGTGGCCATAGCTAGATTTTATGGAGTATGGGATGCCCAAATTTAGCCGAATTTGGTTTTAAACCAAGGTGTTTTTTTTGAGAGAGATTGTAAGACAAAGCTTCCAAAACTATTCAGTACCCATACAAAGTATGTACTTGATTGATTCCACGATGCTGTGCACCCTAATTGATGCCTGCAGTACTGAGACTGTCCAGGACAAACACTTTTTCTCAAGGATTACCTTCGTGTATCAAGGAGTTTTGAACATGGAGCATTAAAAGGCACCCAATACTTACTGAACACCCAGTTGCACTGCACACTTCTTGTACAGCAGCTTCCATTTCAATTTCAGTCTCATCTTCAGAGTCACCCTTCTGTTGCTTCATTTCCTCCTCCTTATTTGAGTCATTTTTGGAGAGCATCTACAAGAAAAGCAAAGCCCACAAGCATGTATCAGTTTCATCATATACAATTTGACACTGACATAAATTGGGTCATAACATGTATTTCTCAGAAAAATCAGTGGAAGTTAACACAGTTTCCACTGTCCCTAACACAGCTTCCCAAGATTCATAAATTCTCCACTGAGAAAGCTCTTATATACTACAAGATCATGCAAACCAGTTAACAATCACTGGCTTTTTAAGTATTGATTTTATTATAGTTCCACACATCATACAAATACACACAGACAAACCCTGCCAACAGGGCAGCTCACTCCTTAACAGGAAAAAGCAAGATATGAAGATTATTGAATCTGGAGGTTGCATTTCCATCTGTTTCCTCCCTCCCATTTGTTTTTGTATTTGAGGCGAGGAGCCGAATTGAGATGGTGTGAACTCAAGACTTCTACAGCCCATATATCAGTGCATCACATTCAAGAGTGATTTCTAGGCCAACAATTTAAGCACTTCCCATACGGCCTCAAGAAAAGGAGCAGCACTAATTAAAATGATCTCAGGGATTCTTCTATCCCCAGGATGGAACAGGGACCACACTCTTCTCTCAGTGCAAATGAGAAAGTAAATCAACTGGTAACATTCAGCTGTTACTTATCAGCCACAGCTGATCAGGGCACTGTGACACAACCAACCTCCATCTGAAGATATGCTGGGGCTTCAGAATCATCGTTGATTCTCCTCACGCTGTCGTAGTGCTCCCCGTGCCGATATGCAATATGCAGCTCCCTCACATTGCTTTTGTCAGTGCCTTGAATCTAATTGAAACAAGCAGACTGCAAATGAGGATTTGAGCTTCACTTCAGAGTCACATTTTTCTTAGCATTACTTGTTGAAGTAATGATTAACAGTGTGCTAGGAAAAAAGTACGTAGCTGCTGAAGCATCTTTAAACAGGAAGCTCTGACCTAATAATCCAGATGTACCTACAGTAACAACACAGCTTCTGTCTGAAGGGTGAGATACAAATTGCTGGCTCAGTTACAGCAGGAAAATATTTTAATGGTAAGCTTAAGAAGATTTTCTAAGCTTTCTACAGCAGCAGTTACAGCTTTCTGATGATCTTCTCCAAACTCGTTTTCAGTGATGGTGTCCATAAAAGACACAGTGCCTTTTTTCCCCCCTCAAGTGCAAGGAAAAAGAGTTTGATCAAATTGGAACTGCAGTAGAAACAGGCACCCATGGCAAGTTTTGTTCTGCAGTTGTGACAAGACACTGCTTTATTGGTTTGCATCTGAAGTGGATGCTTTGCTTAGAAAAGAAATACCAATGAAGAAAACCAGGAGAACTGATTAACTCAAGAGCACCATTAACAATCAAACCTTCCTCTGCTCTGTCAGCACCAAGCACTGCAGCTTCTGTAAGAGAACTCCCACCATGAGAATTTAGCTCCATCTATGAGATAAAAGCTAACAGCATTTCAACTCCTGCAAGGAATGCAGGATATTACACCACAATTGCAAGTCTCCTTTGCCCACCTGCCAAGCCAGAGTTTGAGGATACGACACCTCTGCTAGAGAAGATTCCAGTAATTAAATGACAAAACTGCCTGCTTTAGGGCTCCTGAGTTTCCCAATCCTTTTACGTCTTTTCCCAGCTTGCAGAATTTACACCAAGTCACCTTTCAACCAAGACTGCGGTCTGTGCTGCATTAACAACGGATTTCACAAGAGATCTCATTCCCCATTCACCTTTTTCCACACTTGTTCACCTCTGACTTCCAACTCAACACTTGGTTACGTTTAGCTCCTGCCTTTTACCCTGTTCAGTTGTTCCACACGTTGAATCTCAGATTTCTCAACATTTCTCATTTATCAGACCCTAAATGGTTATCTTACAAATCCTGAAGCTCTTAAGACTCAAGATGAGCCAATTTCTTTGGCTGTCAGTATTGAAGCCTCACTGTGTGCTCCCTCCAAAATACAATGGAATTTTAAGCTAAAGGTAGATGCAGATTTTAAAAAAAAAAAAACAGAAATACACTAAAAAAAGGTAAAGTTACCCAAAAAGCCAGCAAAATAACCCACATGTCTGTGCTAACTTGGAGCCTGACATTTTCAGTCATTATAAAGAAAAAGTTAAAGGTCACTAAAGCCCTAAGAAGCCATCACAGGGATGCCCAACTCCACAGAGCTTCTGAGTAGGTCATAGTTTGAGAAACAGCTGCAGGGTCCAAACACTTCCCCTGTTCACATTTCTGCAGCTTAGCTGCAGTGCATGCAAATAGTTTCCTTAAAATTAAAGGATAATGCACCATCTGCTTTTGACTTGAGACCAAAGGAGGTATTCACACCATCTGCTTTAAGCTGATCTGCTTCTCTGGAAATGCTCTCTTTGTAATTTAATCCTTCCAGTATGCTGCTGGGGCTCCAAAGTAGAGATAGAAAGCAATATGTAAGGAAGTATGAAAAAAATAAGAAATTATTATGGCTAACATTAAGAAGTTGTCCTGGTTTAGTTGAATCTAGCAACTAGGAAAGACTGTCACCACAATGTGATCCCTCCAGAAGCTCCTCACACAAAACTGCTCTCTTCTATGAGTTTCAATGGCTTACAGACACCTTTCATTAATAAGACTCCAAGCAGGCACACAAAGCAGGTCCTCACCACAAACATTTACAACCCAGGAAAGGTCAGCGAGTGGGGGGGAAAAAAAAAAAGGAAAAAAAATAAAAAAAGGAGTTAGAGATTTTCAAGAGGATGTAAAAAATATGGATAAGAGTTAAGTTGCTGACGTTAGGATCCGGTTCAGAACAGTAAAACATGAACAGCACTTCCACGACCTCCCCTGCAGGGTCATTGCCTCCAGGCAGTCTTGCAGGTCAAGCAGATCAGTGTTCCTACTCATCCGTGTCACTGGCAGGTACAGTTGGTAAGATATTTATAGATCTATTCACATACATTAGAGATCTTACTGCTAATGGCTGCCACGTAAATGAGAGTTTAAATTTGTTTGGGTTCAGGAATCCATCTGAAACTAGTTTGAATACACTTAAAGCAGAGCAGAAGGGAGCTGATGGATGACTTGTTCCAGTCTCCCCCTGTAAGATGGAATCACAGGGCACAGTCCTTTCCAGAAGCTGATTAAATGCCACCCCAGGGTTTTAAAGCTGCTTCTCTCACGCTGTTCTGGCTCCATATATTTATTTTCAACCATTTATTGCTGTCTTTCATTCCCTATCCTCCTAACTGAAGCCTTGAGAGTTTTTCTTCAAGGCTGAAAAAGCAAGGACAGCTCTCCAGCATGCCAAGCTAAGCATGGCTGCTGAGCAGTATTTCTGTTCTCGTTTAATGGATCAGAAAGTTTCAATAGTTTGTATCCATCAACCAGAAGCCAAGCCAAAGTACAAGCTTTCTTTCTCACCTGCCACAGCGGTGCGTTCAGCTGATGAATAACCACGTTCATCTGATTGTTCCTTGCAAAGGCCACAATAGCATCGTTGCCAGCAAAGGTACCAGGCTTTGCCAAATTGGTAACTGAAGGAAAAAAATTCAAGAGATTTATGAGAGTTAGAGACCTGGTTTCTGACAGTTCCAAAAGCACTGCAGGGATAGCAAGTAATAAAATTTCAACAAGGAGCCCAAGAAATAAATTCTGGAAAGGAAATTCCACTGTTAAATGGCAACTGCAGGGGCAAGAATCCAGCAGTGTCAGAAGTTTACGAGTATTAAATGACCACAGAGACTCCAGAAAATGCAGCACACCTTACATTATGCAAGACCATCAGTTCTGCATTAGCTCTCTGGAAAGATGCCATGTACTAAATGACCACGCTGCTTTCATGCATCACCTTCATGTCACCTGGCACAAGCACAAGGTTGTGAGAACAAAGGCTGCATTGGTCTCTGCTTTGGATCTTCCTCTATATAAAATATCACATGTCAAGGAGAAAGAAATCCAAGGAAGTCAGCACTCAACGGCCACCAGTATTCTGGATGCTTCATTTTCTCAAGTGAAACCTCATGTGCTTTATTTTCTCCTTGTGAAAACCCTAACTTTTCACTCTTTCCTTTTTTTCTTCCCTTCTCCAGATTCTTCCTAAATTCAAATAAGTTCCAGGACAACTCTACTGGCTCATCTTTCTACAGAAACATAATAAATGTAAACTCAATGCTGTTACTAAAGATTAGAGGCTCCACGTAACATACTGCTGGGATGAGGAATAGCTTAACAGGAAGCACTCAAATGAGATGTAATCATGTCCAGAATAACCTCATCTATGAGCATCCTACGGAATCCATACCATGTTTCTCAAAGGGAACATCATCCTCCACGAAAGGTTCAAAGTCCTCTCGCTGCTTTATCATGTACTCCACCGTCTCCTGGCGATGCCTGAGGTGGTTCCGGGAGTGTCCCTCCAGCTGGTCACCCAGGGCACGAAACAAACAGTTGCTAACGAACAAGAAACCACCTGTAAGTGTGTTGGCAGCACTGCTAACAAAATGCACTATTAAACCAATGCAGAAGAAATACAGGCTGGACAGCTGGAACTGAGGTTAGAAGAATGCGGGGCAAGAATTAAGTGAACACACCATCGGCTCCTACAGAGCAAGTCAAAAGCTGTCCTGAACTGCCGCGGAGACAAAGAGCAAAGGCCAACCCAAGGATTCACGGCCCGGCTTCTCAAAAGGCACGTGTCCAACCAACCCCGTCCTCTCACGCCCGCACCGCCGGGAAGCCCTCCGGCCAGCATAGCCCTGAGCCCGTCCGTGCCAGCGAGGGGCAGAAGGGCACAGACCGACGTTATCCGAGGATACGGGGGGAACGCCCGGATCCCTGCGGGGCGCAGACCCTTCTCAACCGGGAGAGGCAGCCCTCAGCCTTCACTCCTCCGGCACTCACCCATCCCCCGGCACCTCCCGCAGCTTGAGGCCGAGGGCTCGGAGCTGCCTGGCGAGGCCCCCGCCGCCCTCTGAGGGCTTCAGAGCCGTGCCCCCGGTAGGATGCCGGGACCGCCGGGCCTTCTTGGGGCCGCCGGGCCGGGCCCGGGCTGCTTGCTTGCGGGACATCCCCGCCGGCGGCTCCACGCATGCGCAGCGGGACGGCACCATCGAGAGAGACTTTGGGATGGGTAGAGCGCCGCCACTCTGCTCCCCCGCCCTCCCTTCCCCGGGAAGAGCGGCCGCCAGGGGGCACCGCGGGAGCGGGGCTGAGCCGTCCGAAGCCGGGCTTCTGTTCCATCCGAGCCGGGGCACAAACGCCCAACCAGCGTAAGCGCACGGGCGCTTTACAAAGGTATCACGACACGGTGTTCCAGGTGCCAGCAGGACTGCTGCCGTTCTGCTAGATTTCTCCAGTTTTCCCCGTCCCATCACAGTAAGCTCTGCTAAGAGTCTGTTCCCTTTCTCTTACAGCCCCTCTATAGGTGCTAGCCAAGGACAAAACCGAGTCAAAATTCGGACGGCTCCTTTGGACCGCAGCTGAGCATTTCATCAGTGCAGGACAGCCACGAAAAGGCATTCTTAATTCAACCTGACCCATAAAAACCAGGCAGAGCCCGCGGTCTTCAACTGAAAGGTCGTCGTGCCCCTAAAAACTGGGGTCACCCAAAAGTCCGTCAAACTCTGCTGTATCTTCTGTCAGCAGAAACACAGCACAACGCCCTGACGCTTCTCTGAAGTTTGCTTACAACAACTCTTTTGCCATTCCAGGCACAGAACAAGCTCTTCTCACCCCAGCCACGCTCCAGCAGTTCATCAGATTAGAGTCCTCCTGGATTCCTTCCCCTTTAATTGCGGTTATTTCAGTTCTTTCTGCTGCTCCCCCCCTGTGGAGGGGCTGCTATGCAGTAGCACGGATAGCATTCGGGTGCATCTGAGGCTACAGGCTTGGTACTGTGTGTCTCCAAGCCCTCTGGGATCACTGACCCTTCCTTTTCTACCTTCCTTCCTTCCATGGGATTCTTATTGAGAAAACCGTCTGTATTTTACCCTTCAAATAAAAGAGATTTTGTTCAGGCACTCATTTTTCAGAAGAGCTCAGAGCCACCTACCTGGGCATTACTGAGAGCACGAGGTTGTCCTGTGAATGCCAACAAGAGTCCTACCAAGATGGTTTCCAGATCTCTTTTGTGGGCTCTGAAAACCTCATGGATCTCAAGTCACGCTTCAGTTAGCACCTAAAACCAACAGAGGTGCTCCTATAAGAAAGAGCTGATAACAATCAGACACTGAACACTCAACAGCTGAGCAGTGCTAAAGCAAGACAGGCTTCCTTACTGTCAGCCCTGCATGGAAGGCATTTGCAGTACCTGTAGGTAATGTTCATCGTTGTGGTTCTAACGCCAAAAGAGAAGGAGAACAAAACAACTTAGCAAGGTGGTGAGAAAGCCAGTGCCAGAAAGGAGCAGGACAGTTTTCCTGCCTTTCTGTCCCTCACTCTCTAATCAAAGCACTGCACTCAGTACGCCAATTAGGCAATTCTTTGACTGTCACTGTCCAACCAGGCTGTGCTTAGAACCCAAAGAAATCACCCTTAACAAATCAAGTGCTAATTGATTAATAATAGTAGTGCCATTCTCTCAGTCTGGCTGTCCCTGTGGAAAAAGCTGCAGTCTCATTACACCATGGGATCTCCTTCTGGATGGGAATTGCTCAGTGATAGCAGCCACTATAAAATGTCTTGGCCATGAAGTTAATTATTAACTGGCCAGCTCATAAAAACATCACACTGTGAGAGCACAACACACTTAAAAACAGCTGTCACTAGATGATGCATGCAACAGGAACACATAAAAGGAGACAGAAACTTGGGAAGTCCTTCGGCTAAGGGAAGACAAACTGCACTGAGGTTTATCTCCATGGAGAAATCCATGGACAAGCTAAGCAGCGACAAGCGGACAGCTTCTGGAGCACCTCAGGCTGAGGTCAGTCCTGCTCCCACCGCAGGGCCTGCAGGAATGAGCGGAGCAGGACCCCATGCAGAAAATGCTGCTGATGTGGAGAGACTGGCATTCACTGAGGGACATTCCAAAGAAATGGAGAGCTCTCCAGGCACAGAGCTAGACAGTGCTGATGCCTTGAAAACAGCGTTTTCAGGAGACGGTCTGAACTCAGCATCTCTTGCTGTAACAAACCCGAGCTCTCCTGAGGTATGCAGTTCTGAAAGGGACGACCAGCCTTCACCCACATCATCTGTCGCAGACATGGACTGCCTGGTCTGCTTCAACAAGTACAGCATTTATCGGGTCCCAAAGCTCCTGGGCTGTCAGCATGCTTTCTGTGCGGTCTGCCTGAAGCTCATCCTCAGGAAAGAGGAGAATACCTGGATAATCACCTGCCCCCTGTGCAGAAAAAACACATTTGTGTCAGGAGGACTTATCCGCACGCTCCCAAACAAAGAAGAGATCATGGACCTCTTGGAGCACCCCGACTCATGTCATGAGGTACACGTCTCGGGCATCGGGCTGGATAGCAGCAGCTGGGCTCAGAGCAGCCAGGACATTGTAAACAGAGACCCAACGATCCCAGCAGACAACAGACTGGCTGTGCAGAGACTTGTGCTGCTCCTGCTGCTTTTGGTGATTCTCACCATCCTCATCCTCCCGTTCATATACTCCGGGATGATAAAATGGGTCATTTGTATCATGCTGATTTTGGGGTTGGTCATGTCTATGGTGCTTTGCTGCACTCCTAAATTTTACTGGCGCTGCAATGGAAGCTCACTCAGGTCGTGCCACAAGGAGACCCACATTGCTGCTATTGCCTGAAACAATTTGAGATACCTGGAGATAATGCCTCGTTCCCCTTGCACAGCTCAGTGTCAGCAGCACGAGTCAGTTACTGGACTTTGAAAGCAAACACATCATAAATTCAAAGCGTCTGACATAGCCCTAAGGCTGAATGGCTATGCAGAGTGCTGCTTTAATATTACTGAAAACATAGAAAAACATCTGTATTCTGATATTTGTAAGAGAAAATTGTAAGCCTTCCTCACAGCTTCTATCCCAGATGAATAATTGTTTTGTTTTGCTTTGGTCATTTTGTTCTTGTTGGTGTCATCTCTGGATTACTGCTGCAGAACATTATCTGAAACATCTGACACTGAAAATTTGTCCCCGTTGCTGTGTTTTCCTGCTCTCTTAACATACCCACACCTTTTCTTGTGATAATGTGGGGAATTAGCCTGATAATCTGGGACTGGACAACCAGCCTCAACGGAAGAGGGTGATTTTAACCCAGTTTATCACCTTAGTCTGTATCATGGACCAAAAGGTTGTTGTCAGCGGTGGGAAGGTAGGGCTGGGAGAAGGCAGCCACCTTAAGTTGCCACCTTAAGTTGCACGCAAAACTAGAGAGGAAGAGGCAAAATCAACACTTCTAATCTTGAGTCCACAACTTACAAAGGGCAAGGCTCTGAAAAGCTCATGACATTCCAAGCTCTCTGTGCTTTTTAGCACAGAAATGGTTCCTCTCAGCTGCACTCCTCTATCTGGCTTCCTGTACCACCTCTCCTCTTGCTCTCTTTACATTAAGTGTGACATTGCCCTTGGAGATGCCCACAACTCTCCCTGTAGAGATCAAAATAAATCTACCGATGGTTATCCTATGCCAAATCTGATATATTTTTTTTAATATATGGAATATATCCATTAAAGTTTAATAATGCTAATTGCTCATTGACTTCTGCGTTTCAATTCTGCATGCCAATTAACATCAAAACATTTCCCAGCTCCCTCACTGACAGGATCTACAGCTGAGAGAGCATTCTGTGAGTAAAGCAGAAAAGTAATGCGGTGGGCTTTTTTCTTTGAATAAGGAAAACAAACCTGTCAAGCCCTCTCCACAGCAGTGGATGACTGCTACTATAAATGTTTGTAACAAATACTAATTGAGCCCCAATGTGATGTGCATGAATACAGAAGAATAAGCTAGAAGGGTTAAAGGAAAAGCGTGCACCAATTGCGCAGAACACTGATCTCATTCAAATGACGAGATAGCAAGGATGGAACACACTTTCCTGAAGATGACAAAGATGACATGAGCTACAGCCATCACGTGGCCCAATTAAAAACTGAAGGGCAGTCTGGCCCAGGAGAAGACACTTGGGAAGGGACGAAGTGAGACTGGCACCAAACAGCACCCACTCTGGAAGGGTGTACAGCTCACACCCAGCACCAGTTTGTTATCTCCAGTCAAGAGATACTGCTCCTGAACTGATGCTCACAGTGCACACACACACAAAAGTGTTAGAAAGGAATGTTTTACCTCAAAACGGTCATCCTGCAGCTCTATACCAGCACATTACAAACTTGTGCTCAGCAGTTCAGCTGGAACAACGCTTCAGCCTTTACAGCTTCTAGCAGTCATCCAATTCAGAGTTCATGGATGTTGGCAGAAGTCATTACATCCTATGAGCTGAATTCTTTTACAGCAGCTATTAATTCCCAAGGCCTGACAAGATAAGGCTCAATGACAATGCAATCCTTTGAAGGGGCATGTAAGTTTATGGTGGAAAGCTGCAAAAAAATGTGTTTGTATTCAAAAACATAAAAGGATTTGTTTGTATGCAGTTCTCCTTCATACCAATCTGAATGGCAATCGAGTTGCAGTTCCAAATTACCCTGCCTTGCTTACAGTAGCTAGGTGGGTCCTGATTTCACATAGTGATTAAATGACATAGCATGGAAATAGTGCATGGTGAGAAATGGGCCAAGGTGGTGGCTGACATCCTGCACAAATACCCCAGAACTGCGTTTTGTAAGGACGGAACGCCATGGAGACATTAAGAGCATGATGAGACCCAACAAATTATCGTGGATTGTATAGACAGAACCCTGGCCCACGTGTTCTAAATTGCTTTTAACGGCAGGAGAGCTTTCAATCCTCGAACACAAGAAACAAATCTGCAGATTTGGTTCTGAGAACACAGATTTGTGTCCAGATGGCTTTCTGCTTGTTGTGAACCATGTGCAGATGTCCACTGTGGTTACCTGGGTCGGTTTTTGCACCCCAGCTGGGATCATGGGGCCTTCTGAGCCTCTCGTCACATTGAAGTTCATGATGATGCCCAAAAACCAAAAGGGTGATATGGATAAGGAGCACTTGTGAGAGCAAACCTGAAGGTGTAATGCTAGCAGCAAGCAAGCAGGACGTTTGGACAAATCAAATTTGGCTTTTCAACAGAACATATTTCAGATATTTTATTTTAGAAGACTCAAGTAGCGGATTTTGATGTATACATCAGCTACCGAGCAGCCCAAACTAGGTTCACTTTCACAAAACGTGATCATCCAGCAAAGCTGCTTCCTTCCTCTTGAAAAGGCAAATTTTGCCACGGATCACCAAGCACTGTGCTTGCTCCGTGCCACCACTGGAACAAAAACACTGACCAAAACCCATGAAACCAATGCAGTGCAATTCAGGGAGCTGAATTAACTCCACAGCCTTAGCACAGCCCTAGGATTTTGACAAGGCCAATTAACCAGAGCTGAGCAGAGCCAAGCTGATTGCACCCGTAACTCTGGGTTATGGATGCTGGTGTTTGCTGATCGCTCTGCAGTTTGTTTAGGTAACAGAGCTGTGTCTCTGGGCTGAGGAGATAAGGAAGTTCTGCAGGGAAATAGGAGGTCCTCCTTGGATTTGATTACTGCATTTGTAACATACACCTGGGAAACTCCTGCATACGCAACACGAGTAATGTAGATAAGCTGAAGACCCGTTGTGCAGGCTATGCATTATAGGAGGACGACCCCCACGCATCCAGCGCTGCTTTAAAGAATGCCTGCTTTCTAACACTCCAACTCGAATCTTAGAGACTTTCCTGATCGACTGATTTAAAGAATCAAGCAGCAGCTGGCCTTGCTGCTTCCTCCCCATCGGGCCGGTCAACAGCGCAGGTGAGCCATCGCCTCAGCCCGGTGCCCGCCATCACCTCACGTGAGATGCCGCCTCAGCGCAGCGCGCTTCCTTCCCGCCCTTCGTAAGCTGCGCTCGCTGCTACGCTATCGGCGTAAGGAGAGCAGAGGGTCGCCCGGCTCTATCCGTACGGAACCTGCGTAAGGGCGACGGGCACAGACGGGACGGGCGGAAGGGGCGGGGGGCAGCGGCGGAAGGGAACGCAGCGCTCCGGGTCGGCAGCAGGTCGGACCCGGGCGGCGAGAGGGGCTGGGACCGGGCTGAGGGGTGGGGAGGGCGGACACCTCGCTTCAGGCTGTTCCTTGAGGGCGCTGTGGCGGTGTCCGCGGGCTGCGCTTCTCCTCACGGATGGCTGCTGTCCCCTCAGCGCGTTTTCCCGCTCAGCGTTTCTCTTTGCCTCTCCGCAGCTCTGGGTCCTTTTAGGATTCCTCCTTTCCCAATAGAATTGCAAGAAACCGCATCTCAAGAAAGCAAAAAGTGTGAGAAACAAGTGCTGCAAATGATATTTTTTTAAAAAAAAACCGCTTTCAAGTGCGCATTTCAGATGATGGCAGTGCTATAGGTTTCTGAATCACGTAGTCCTGAGTTCAGTGCCAGCAGCTGTACAACCTCAGCACATTTTCCCTTTTTTTCCTGTTTTCCTTAGATATTTATGAAGAAATTGATATCTGTGTACTGCTCACAGCTCTCCTCGACTGAAGAGGTGACAGAAAAGGGCCAAGCGAAGCTGCCCTTCTAAACACTCAGCATCACAAATCACTGTTTATTTCCAATGCTGCTTCCCATAATAACTTAATACATCTGTGTTCAGAGGTGAGTGGACATGCCAGGTTATTTTGCATGAAGTTATTGTGACTGTGTTCCATAATTTCCAGGCGGTCATGTTGAGTCAGGCTCTGGATGCTTTAGGAAGATCAGAGCTCAGGGAGTGGTGTGAAATGGAGTTTGATCACCCACGTGAGGGCTTTGGAGCTGCTGAGGTAGTAAAAAGTCTTGGGATTTTGGCAGGGGGTGAAATCCTAGGAAGCATGGAGACATCTCACTGTGCCTTCAGAGCCGAAGCCCCAGGCATGGTGCTGTGTGCTGAGGGGGGGTACAGTGCCACCTGGACCAGCACTGATCCCTGTTGGAGTGTCACCTGGCCCTCCCTTCCTCTGACTGGAACAGAAAGAGCACTGTTTATTTATTCCTGAGGACTTTGTGCTCCCGTGTTGCTGGAATGTGATGTTTCCATGGAAACGTGCTGAGGTTCCTTATATCTGTGTGCTCAGACCAGAGGCAGCATCAGGAGATGCTTGCTGCGGGGAAGCTGAGCTCTCCTGGGGACAGGCATTGCAGCAATCCCCAGCCTTTCAGTGATGAATGTGTGTTGGTTTATACACCAGCAGTTACATAGTGCAAGCCTTGAGGAATATGAATACTTTCAGATACATTTCTGAGTGAGACAGCATGACAGACAGCTTACCTGGAACATCATGACAGATAGCATGGAGATAATGCAGTCTCTACAAAGAGCTGCTCCTCTGCTGCACTTCTTTCTTCTGGAATTCTAAGCTACCCCGTAAGTGGTATCTGAATCTTCTGAGATTGAGTGCTTGGTTAATGCTGTTACAGCAGGTTGTCTCCAGTTCCTATCAGCAGGGAAAGTATCCAAATAGCAAGCACAAAATGGTTTGCCATTTGTGATATGCCTTTGGAAATGGATTGCGTCTTGATGTAGTCAGTAGAACTTTCAGGTGATGTAAGTGAGCTTTGAAGCAGACTTACTGATGTTCAGTTGTGGAATGTGCTGCTGTCACCTCTGCCCGATTTCTGTCCTCTCTGCTAGCTGCTTGGATTAGCAGCCAAAACTCCCTGTATACTCAGTGAGGCTCCCAGGAGCCCTTTGGAGCAGTTCATTTGGAAGTGTGTGATCACAAGCTGCTTACATTTTGGTGCTCTGAAAATAATATTTGGCCCAGCCTAAGTTCCAGGTAGCATGGCAATGTTATGTTTAGGGAAATGTAGTGGTAGGTTGTATAGGTAAGATTAGACTATAAACAAAGCATAGCAATGGCTTGGGAAATAAGTGGTTTCATTAACAGTCCTAATCAGAGGCTGCAGCTGGACTTAACTTTCTTAACACTGTTAGCAAAATGAACATAGGAGCAATTTGGGTTGGGGATGAAAGAAGCAAATTATTTCCCAGGCTGCCATACTGGTCCCTGTGCCAGGTGCAGAGCTTTTATTTTTCCATCTCTTTTTCCACTAAATATGTGAATAATATGCCAGAATGGAACCCAGTCTCTTTTCATCTTGAAGTAGACTTCTCCTTTTGAGAAGCGTTGTTGATTTGGTGCAAAAGAACTAAGAACTGGTGAACAGAAAGCCTCCTATTGTCTGTGGTCACGGCATTGCGTTGCAATGAGATACACAAGTTGGGCTTTGACAGACCTGCATTGCTGCAGACCAGCAAGTGTGGCAGTGAAAAAGCAAAGGCAATTTGTTTCCTCGATTTCTGGTTTCCAGTTGTTATGTTATTTTTTTCCCTTCTGCTTTTTCTTCTTTGAACTTGCAGGTAAAAATGGCTACAGAAGAGAAGTGGGAAAGTTCGGCTTCGAAGCAGAATAGTGGAGCTGAACAAGCAGAAGACAGGGAATCGTGTGTGCTGCTGAGCCAGCAGCTGGGTGAACCAGGAAAGTTCACTTATGCAGCACTCTGTGGGGTATCCCTGGCGTGGCTGTTCCCTGAAAAAGAACAAAGGTACTAAATGTGGGCACAGGGAATGAGCACAGCAGGTGGCTTTTGGAGCAACTCACACCGAAGTGGTGTCAGAGTCAGTGTTGCAAATGGGATGGATTGGGTTTAAAAAAAATAAAGACTGAAGCATCCCAAGGAAGCAGGGACCGCTCAAGGCTTGCAAAAATACTCTGTTACAAGGCCTCACCTGCCTCTGTTGCCTTACAGCTCCTTCAGGACAGAGTTCATTGAGGGCTTGGTGAAATGGCTGGACCTGCCTGATGCTGTCTTGCCTGCCATGACAGCGTTTGCTAGTGGCTTAGGAGGTGAGGGCACAGAAACTTTTGCCCAGCTTTTGCTGAAGGATCCCACTGTGAAAGATAATCCTGTTGTCATTACCCAGGTAAGTTCCTACGTTCCCCTCAGTTCTGTTTGGTTTTACAAAAAAAGATCTGTTATACTTGCCTGTTTGTCCAGTTCTGTTTGTGCAGTTAGGGAAGTAAATCAGAATCCTGATATGCATTTTCTTCTGTGCAGCTCTGTGGGTGCTTAGCAATCTATCCATTCACAGCACGTGGAAGTGATGAGCATGAGATGCAGTTACTGCTGAATTAACATTTTCTGTCTTTGATGCCTTTGCCTTAGAGAGAACTGTCAAAGCTTTGACTGTATTGCTGCAATCTTTTTTACACACATGGGCATTCTGCAGATTTTGGTGAAATGCTGAACATGAGAGGCCCTATTTTTCATTCCCTCTTACTGTGAGCAAGGGGGATTTTGGAGGAGCAGGAAAATGTGTGTATATGAGGAGGTGTGTAGAGGGCCAGTAGTTTTACAGGGTTTAATGTTCCTTCTCCTCTAATACAAAACATTTCTACGTACGTGAACATGAACAAGGCTGCATAGGTAAAGAGATGATGGAATTGTTCCTTCTTGGTCGTGATGAATTCCCTTTATCTTTGTCTTCTTTTGTGTCTCCTAGCTGGTCCATAAAAGGCATCAGAAGATTTGATGCAAACATCAGTATGTTATAATGCTCAAAATATTATAGCAACCTCACTGCAGTGACAGAGATTAATGAGCTTAATTAGTAAGTTGGGGCAGATATGAAATAAGAGCAGCTGTTTTGATTTATTTATTTTTTTAAAATTATTGTGTTTGCTCAGAAGCAGTAAGTGTACGTTCAGTTCTTTCTGTGTTGAGATGACCTAGCATTTCCCAGGCTTGTTTCCCTAGCTCTGTCTACTCCAGGATGAGTTCTCTAGAATTAGGCTGCTGCATTTAATAAGAGTGAAATTTTGGCAAAACGTAACTTGTGCTTGCTCCAAGTTTATGTTGTGTTAGGTCTCCGTGTGCTTTTACAAAACACTCTCTGGATCCTCAGAGATCACAGCCTCTGGGATTGTGCAATATTTTGTTATGAGAACGGAGGCACTTGCCATGGTTCCTAGTGGAACACAGAAGCCTTTGATAACGGTTCTTTGATTAAATGAAAGCAAAGATCAGCAATAGCTATCAGCCTAATGCCTCAACAGTTGGACCTCATGCAGTCCTGTGAGGTGATTGGTGTTGTCAGATGAAGCACATAATTAAAGGTTGCTGCAGGGCAAAGCATGAGAGGCTTGCAGGATGTTGGTGGGAAAGCATTCCGGCATATGGGAAGCTTCAAGGTACCAGGCTGAGATAAGCTGAGATAAACTTTTTCCTTATTACCTGAAAATAAGCCACAGGATCAAACTTTGTCAGTTCTCCATCTGTTGCTTTATGGCACTACTGTTTCTTTGTTTAACCGTAAATGTTTATTCCAGGAACACGCTTCAGTGCTCACTGTGTTCAGTGGCAGGGTCCTGGTGCCTCTAATGCTTGTATTTTTGAATGCCCTCTACCAAGGGATGATGCACAGATCAGGAGGTGAGCTCACCACTGATGCAGTGAGAATTTGAGGATCGTGGATTTATGCCTTCATTTGAATTTACTGCAGGTGATGAATACATGCAAACGCTGTCTTTTTGACAGCAGTCATAACAAATAGCTGTGGGTGTGGTATGAGAAAGCAGTGATTCTTGTCTAGATAGGAATCAATTTATTATTTGCTTTTAGTGACAGCGAAAGGAGGGGAAGAAGTTGACTTTGCTCACTTTTGTTTCCTGGTAGTGGATGAGAAAACAAAATTCTTAATGAGTCTTTTTTCTTCTTGCTTTGAGCAGACTTAGAATGCCCATTTTCCTGTGTATTCCTTGTTGTTATTTCCCTCCCACACGCAGTGGCATTGCAATGTGAAACCCTCTGTGAGGAAATAGATTTTGGACTTGTAGCAATTAATAAAATACTGGCAAAGACTTGTAATAAAGATTGCTTTCCTTTCTTTTGTGAGGTTTCACTCAATTGTGCATGGTGGTCCTGAGCACAATTAAAATTAAAAACACCTCCACTTCAAAATGACCAAACCTCAATAGCTGCTGCATAAAGAGAGGAAACAAACAAGTTGTGAACTAATCTAATCAATGCCGATTGGACTCCAGGTGACTGCATGGTAGTACGTGCAAAGCCTGAAGCACTGAGAAATACTTGAGTATGCTAATGGTCACAAATGCAATCTCTTGTTCCAGTTTGTCACCTGATTACCCGAATCCATCTCTCACCTTTTGAACTACACGTGTCTAAATGCTTAGGCCAGATTTTTGAAAGAAGTTATTTGATGTTGGGTGCCGCTGAGCCTACTGGATAAATCGTGTAGGAGCTGAGCCATGACCTATGGCTCCTTCACAAGACCCAGGGAGCATTTATTGCCTCTGAACTGGCTCTGTGCAGCACCGCAGCCCTGCTCAGGAGGCTGCCTGCATTAGCAAATGACAGCAGCAAGGTCAAAAGCTTCACCTAACTCCGGACTTGGGGTTCCACTCTTGATCAGCTTTCTGCTTAGGCCTCACAGCCTTGGGCTTTCTGCTGGGCTTTGTCACCTCTGTGCCAGCCCCTCCTGGCAGCCCTGAAGCCAGATGGGCTGCACGGCAGCAGTTGCAGTGCCTGGGGACTGCAAAACCCAAGTTCCATTCCTCTCTCTGCCTGGGGGATTTATGGTTCCATTTCCCACCCCTTG